AACGCTAATAGCAGGGGGTTGCGAATAGACTTGTACGGAGATATTCACGGAGCACTGAGTACATATAAGACCTTGTGCTAGGCCTGATGGGTGACACCACATCACAGTGTCTGCCACTGAAGAACACCCAGTGTAACCTGAGAGGTATCCAGGTGTGTAAATAGTTAGAGTACCAGCAACATCCATACGTGTTGTGAGAGTAATACCTAGGAGGAGATCACGTGAGCTGTGATCATGAGGAACCAGAATGGTTGGTTTTACACGGAAAGTCGGGATTTCGGTTGCCTTCCAGATCTTTTGCACTGGTATAGTCCCTCCCTTGAGGCTGTCGGAAAGGAACATCCACCATATAATAGTGAGGGGCAACGAATAAGTTCAGAAGAACCAGAACCTTTCTTTTCTAAAGCATGCATTTAAAAACTATTTTCACTGGGTATAGAATTTTATCTTTACAGTTTTCCCCCAGTTCTTTAAAGATCCTGATCCACTCACTAGTTTGCACTATGAATAAGGAGAAGTCTCCAGTGATTCTTTGTTCTTCTGTATGTGATGTCATTTCTTTCTTCTGGGTGCTTTTAAGATTTTTATCACAGGTTTTAAACATTTTGAATATGATGTGCTTTGGTGTAGTTTTCATTGTGCTCCTTAAGCTTGGGATTTGTGAGCTTCTTGGCTCTCTGCGTTTATACTTTTAATTAAATCTGGGAAACTTTGGGCTCGTATTTCTTTCCTTTTTTTTTTTTCCTCTTTCTGTTCCCACCCCGTCCCCCAATTTTCCAGAGACTCCTATTACATATATATTAGGTAACTTGAAGCTCTATAGCTCAGTGATGCTCTGTTCATTTTTCCTGTCTTTTTTCGCTGTGTCTCACTTGGATAGTTTCTATGGGTATAGTCGAGTCTATTAAAATGTCCCTTTCTGCAGTGCCTCCTCTCCTGTTAATGCTGTCCCATGTAATTTTCATCCCAGGCTTTGTAATTCCCATCTCTAGAAGTCCAGTTTGAGTCTGTTTCATATCTTCTGTGCCTTTATTTAGCATGCTCAGTCTACTCTCTAATTTCTTAAACCTGTGGAGTATAATCACAGCTGTCTTCATGTCCTTGTCTATTAGTTCTATTATCTGTGTTATTTCTGGGTCAGTTTGATTGATTTTTCTCCTCATTATGGTTCCTGTTTTCTTCTTTGCATGCCTGGTTTTTTTGATTGAACGTTGGACATTGTGAATTTTATCTTCTCGAGTGCTAGATATTTTTATATTCCTATAAATATCTTGAACTTTGGTCTGGGGCATAGTTAGGTTCCTTGGCAGTGAATTGGTCCTTTCTGTTCTTGGTTGGGTTCTTTCTTTTTCTCTTCCTTTCTCTTTCTTTCTTTCTTCTTTTCTTTCTTTCTTTCTAAGCTTTTTAAGGCAAGTCCAGAATAGCATTTAGATGAGGGTTAATTTTTCTTTCCATATGACCTTTTCTTTCCACCTGAGGTTTGGTCTGTTGTTAGATCTGATTTCATTTTTCTCTTTTACTTTCAGTAGTATAAGAATGTTAAAGACTGGAGTATAAAAAGTTAGTTGCATTTGTCATAGACAGATGGATTTTTTCAGCCATTATTTGCTGAAATGGTGGTAACCATGCTAGAAGGAGGATTACACACAGATTGATAATGCTGATATCAGGGGGTTGCAAATAGACTTGCATGGAGAAATTCGCAGAGCCCTGAATACACATGAGACCTTGTGCTAGGCCTGATGGGTGACACCACATCACAGTGCCTGCTGTCAAAGAATACCCAGTGTAATCTGAGTTATTGGGAAGGGAAGGGAGGAAGAGTTAAAGGTAGCAGAAGACCCCAATTGTAGTTAATAAATCTGGCCTACATTTCCAGAGGCACTCTTTGGATGATAATGAGGGCAGCTATCCTTTGAGTTGTTCAGGTGAAGCTGGGTGTCGCTAGTGATATCTAATGACCCTCCTCCTTCTGTGACTGGGTGACAGGAAAATGTGAGTAATGCCAGTGTGCGCTGACTGGGTGCGGTGTATAGAGCTTTGTCTGAACAGTGAAAGTTGCAGATCCTGATTGGCTCAAGACTAACTACATTGTGGCCTGATCAAGATTGCCAGGACTCCTGTGATGGAATTTGTCTTTTATCCTAGTCAGTTGTGATGACCAGAGCCTTCCTTGGAAAGATAGTCTGTGTTTAAACGACTGTGAGCCCATGTGGTCTGTCTGGTGCCTGTGGTAGCTCTGGATATTCCTACTTCTCAAGGAGCTCATTGATGTAATTTCAGACACTATATCCTCACTCAAGAGAACAGGCCGTCTTGCTCTGCATGGAGTATCTTACAAGACCCATTGCTGTGTCCGTTTTTAAGCTGCTGGTTCCAGATGTCTCTAGCAGCCCTACTTTTTCTCAGATGCTTAGCCAGCTTACATGTATGAATGGCCTTTCTGTCCTGCAGAGGCTGTGAGAAGCTCTGCCTGAATGTTTGAGAGTTAACCGGCATTTAGCAAGCAAGACTTCCATGAGGCACTGATTGTACTGTTTTCAGAGATCATACAAGAACTTCTGCTGATCTCAAAAGTACTCACTGTCCAGGGGGCAAATAGCGTAAGTGAATTCAGAAACCCGTTCAGGAGGACCATGAACAAAAATGAGAAGATGAGCAGAACAGTTAGTGTTTTGAGTTGTATTTCTTCAGACTTCTCTGTTGGGGTAGTGGCTTGAGTGACCAAGTGGCTGGCATCCCACCATTTATAGACATGTTCTATTTTGAGACTGAGTTTGTGGTTTGGGAAGGATGTATAATCATGTTCAACAGACGCTTATTGAGGGTGTTAAGTGTCATGTCAGGCCCAGGGAATACCAAGAAGTATAGTTACAACCTCTGCTTCTAAGGAACCGTTCATCCTCGGAAAGTCAGGGCGCGCTTAACGTTAAAGAACTTAGTAAGATGTAAGAAGTCTTTGTAAGTGAAAAGCATAATTGTCAACATTTAGCAGAAGTATATACCAAACTGTTAACTGCTCAGGGGAGTGGGGCTTGAAGTACTGGGGCACAAGGTGGGGAAGAGGAAAGCTCTTCACTTTTTATTATGCATTTGACCTGTGGACAACATGAGTTTGAAGGGCACGGATCCACTTACATGTGGTTTGTTGGTGTTTGATAAATACAGTGCAGTTCTGTAAATTATTCTCTCTTCTTTATGATTTCCTTTATAACATTTTATTTTCTCTAGCTTTCTTGCAAGAATACAGCATATAGTAGATATAACGTAAAAAAATATGTGTTAATCTTCTATTGGAGATATTGGTAAGGTTTCCAGTCAGCAGTAGCCTATTAGTAGTTAAGTGTTGAGGGACTCAAAAATTATATATGGCTCTTGACCATGCTGGGGGTCGGCACCCCCCTTCTCCCACATTGCTCAAGGATCGACTATATACGTTTGTGCGTGGTTGGAAATTTTTACCAAGTGCCAGTGTATTGCCTTTTTGGAATTCTTTATCAGTTAAAGAAATGATGGGAGGGTGGGTGGGGTACCTGGGTGGTGGGCAGTAAGGAGGGCATGTGATATGATGAGCACTGGGTGTTATAAGCAACTAATGAATCATTGAGCACTACACCAAAATCTAATGATGTACTGTATGTTAGATAATTGAATTTAAATTAAAAAAATAAAATAATAAAATAACATAAAAATTTTAATTTAATTTAATTTTAAAAGTGATACACTAGAAGATTATACCCATAATGTTAGCCTTGAATATCTGTGTGATAGGATTATAAATAATTTATATTTTCTTTATTATACCTTCCTATTATTGCCCACATTTTCTATAATGGATATGTATTATTTTATAAATAGAGAAAGTATTTGAAAACCAAAACCCTAAAGGATCCATGATGATTATTATAACTACATTCCAACATGCTTCTGGTATCTTGATTATAATATACCAGCTTTCCCTTTTCTTTTTGCTAACTCTTTTTTTTTTTTTTAAGATTTTATTTATTTATTTGACAGAGAGAGATCACAAGTAGGCAGAGAGGCAGGCAGGGAGAGAAGGAAGCAGGCTCCCCGCTGAGCAGAGAGCCCAAAGCGGGGCTCGATCCCAGGACCCTGGGATCATGACCTGAGCTGAAGGCAGAGGCTTTAACCCACTGAGCCACCCAGGCGCCCCTCTTTTTCCTAACTCTTACCACAACTGCCAAGACTTCTTCTATCTTAATTCATCATCATCACCACTATTTATTTATTTACTTATTTTTAAAGATTTATTTTATTTATTATTTTAGAGAGAGAGCAGGAGGAGGGGCAGAGGGAGAGAGAGAATCTCAAGCGGACTCCACACTGAGCACAGAACCTGACACAGGGGTCGATCTCACAGTCCTGAGTTCATGACCTGAGCCGAAGTCAAGAGTCACACACTTAATGGACTGAGCCACTCAGGTGTCCCCATCTTCACTATTTAAAGGTGAAACAGGACATTGGCTCTTGCTTCTGTCCCTTGTCATTTTGAGTGAGTGAGTTAGCCTTGGAGCAAAAGGAATCCATCTATTAACTACTCAACTATACTGTGAAGGCTGCCTAGAAGAATTCAAATTATGCCGATTGGGTTACAATTATATCTGTCAATGTGGGCTGTGATCTCTTGGTTTAAAGCATCCTAAGAATACTTTTCTATATCTTTATATTTAGTCCCGTTGGAGAAAGCAATTCGATTATTCCATCTCCCCATCTGGTGCAGTAAGAAAACTCATCTGCTTGGCTTACTTTATATGAGAGAGAATTAAAATGTCCAAGTTAAAAAAAAATGTCCAAGTTATTTGTAATTTGGGTTAAGTAGTTCAATCTCAGCTTTCCTACATTTTTCTGGGAATTCATACTCCCTAATGATTATCAACTTAATTACTTTGGAAGTAATAGTGTTCTGAATTATTTAAGGAAGCCAGGGATCGAAAGACAGATGTCATTTCTAAATGAATTTTTTTTTTTTTCCCTTATAGCATGTGTTTGATGATCTCAGTGTCTCAGTATCCTTGTCCTGGGTTGGCGATGGCACTGGGGTAAGTAGTATTTTGAGTCTGTTAACTCAGTGTAGCAAGAAGAAGATGGAGATTTTAGGGGTTTAAACACTGAATGTTGTTACTTTTTGAAATGGTCTCCAACCTCCGTTGCAGGCATGTTTGCAGTACATATTTTCAGGAAGCTGTGATTGGTTTGGTTTTGCTTTAGAACTGGGAACATCTAGTGACTGCATTCCACAGTAGGAAGACAGACACCTTTTTAGTTTTTGATGGCTGCTTGGCATCAAGATGAGCAAGAAGAAGAAAGAGGAAGGAGAGTGCCATGTGCTCGGACGGGAGCCTCATAATACTTGGGAAAACCCCTGTGTAGCAGCAGAAAACTGCATGTTGCACATCTTGGCATGTTTCCTCCAAACTATATTGTTCCGTGTCCTTTCCCACAGTTAGTGTTGAAGGACTGTGGCGCCCATGGGCTCGCGGTTGTTCAGCTCCTTCTGTTGACTCTTGCCCTACCACGGAGGAGCCCTGCCAGGACTGGCGTCATGGAAGCAGAGTCCTTCAGCTCCTCATCCCTCTGTATCCCCATATAGACAGTCCCCCAGCAGGAAGCTGTGCTGAGGGTGGCTGTAGGTCTTGAGTCAGGGTGTGACATTGCCCGGCTCTGTGTCCTTCTGTCTGAACAAGGGCAGGGGCCACAGCTCATACCCTCTGGTATTCTGGTAATATGTATATCATAGCACTGAGGCCCGTGACAGTGGCATCAGGAATCAAAAGAAATAGAATTTTGATGTTGAAAAGCAAGTTATACATTTCTTATTTTAATTAATTTAATTAATTTTTAACCATGTCTCAGTTTCTTCTAAAATTTGAGTAGTGCACCAATTTCTGTGATTTAACCATTTATCTAAGATGGCTGGTATCTCTAAGGTTTCTTGTTATGTGGCTATTTGAGACTCCATAGCCTCTTGTACTAATCTACTATCAGAGTCTTTTCCTAATGAATATTTCTTTCTAGAAAGATACTTATTTGAAAAATTAATTTCATGGAGAACTAACAGCAAGGAGAGGAAGAAATGGACAAATATATATATGATATAGTGACCTCTCTAAGAACACCCATACTATTCTAGCCTCTGTGAGCAGAAAGAGAGATGATCTTTGCCTGAGAATATCTTCCAATAATAGAGATTCACCCTTCCATTATCATAGTGTGTGGTTGATTATCTCTGCCTCACTACTTGAAGTGTATGTGATGGGACCATTTGAACAAAATGAGTTGAGATCTTGAGTCATTGTGAGCCCTAGGAACGTGGTCCTTCTGGGTTTTCTGATATTACAGTATAGGCTACCGTGGGGCAGGACTCCTGGCAATCTATTACTTGTTGATTTAACCCCATCACATGCAAGCATGTAATTGGATGATCTTTCTTATTGATTGCATGCTTTTGTCTCTTCCCAGATCATTCTGGTCTTGACTACCTTCCATGTACCACTGGTAATTATGACTTTTGGACAGTCCAAGCTATATCGAAGGTGAGATGCATAACGTGTGGCTGGGGCATTGGCTGAGTAACACATTGTGAATGTAAGTTCCCTACGATATAGACACGATGGAGTTTAAAAGTTGATTTAAAGGATTTTCTAGCTATCTTAAGTTTTCATCAGACTGTCACACTCCGCATACTGCATATCTGCTTAGCAACCTGACCAAGTATGAAAAGGGATCTAGTTCCAAGGAGTTTAGGCAGGCTGACCTCACTGAGTGGCAAAACAATAAAGGAAGACAAAGGAAGAGTTCATAGCAGCCTGTATCTCTTCATTTAAATGGGTATTTATTTGTGAGAAGGTAGCATAGAGTTTAACCATCTTTCCATTTATTATGAGTTTTTTAATATCTCTGAAATAACACAAAGTGGTTTTTATATCCTTGAAAGAGTCCTTACTATACCTTTCAGGTGAATGTGATTTATCTTACAATAAAATGGATATATATTTTGAGCCCTAAACAGATTGTTTCCAGATCAGGAGGGAGTTCTGACCTAACCCACGTGTGTCACAGTATTCACATTGGTAATGATGGGCGCAGTATGTGTTCAGGAACCATAATCTATACTGCGACGTTCACAGAGTTTTAGAGTTGTCTTCTCAAAGGTACAGCTTGGTTAAATAGTGGGTTCTTTCCCTTAATTATAAGATTCAACACCAACTTACTCTCAGAAATTGCTGATTGTCTTCTCTGTCATTTGTGTCTATCCCATTCTCCCCCCAAGGGACTTTAAAGAAAGATGACATCCCAGCAGATGATATAGAAACGCCTCCCAGGGCCAAGGGATCTCCCAAGGGCCATTGTACTCTCTCAGGGTTCCTTCTTTGACTATTGGTCTTGGTCCAGGAGGGGGTGAACCCATGTTGAAGCTCTGAGATGAAGGATCAGTCCAACCTTCCTTCCCTGGTAGGCGTGATCACTGGCTACTGCTGCTGAGCCTGGAGCCAGTGCTCTCTGCCCTTCAGCACAGTGATGTTTAAAAATTGACCAATAAGGAATTGCCATCTTGAAATCCATGAAAGCAGGGTTCTTGACTAACTTGGGGTTCTCCGCCAACTAGCCAAACAACTGACTCATAGCAGGCAAGCAGTACATACTAATTGAGTGAATGAATACCTTTGCCTCTGTATAATTTTCAGGCTTATAGTATTTTTTATTTGTTTGATAAAGATTTATAATGCATTGTAGAATCCCAGTGCTGGAAAGGGCTATGATTTATAGGTGATTTTGTTTATTCAGATAGAACAGTAGTTGAAGCATTTCGGACAGATGAAAGGTATCCTGTTTGGGGAGGGAAAAAATATTTTTTAGGTTGTAAATTCGGTAACTCTTCCCAGTGTTTAAAAAACCTGGCTCTCATAAAATCTTTTCTTATAGAAAACAACCATGTTATAAAACATTTGGAAATTTTAAAAGAAAGAAAAAATTCACCCTAAAAAGTAAAGTGTGATCTTAATATTTTTACACTTTATTATCTTGATTTTTCCCTTTCATATTATTCATATGACTACATACATAGTCTTAGGAAGCAGCGTGGTCTAGGGTAAAATTGCCAGACTGTGTTGGCAAACAGGCCTGGGACTGAATCTCAGCACTGTCATTTGTGAGCAGAATGAACTCGAACAAGTCCTAAGTTTTTTGTCATCTGTAAAAGAAAGGTGGTAATAATGGCCACTGCAGAGCCTCTGCACATTGTGCTTTGCAGTGGCTGGCGTGGAATAAGAACGGAGTGGGGTTAGCCTCTGTCATGCCAACAGCCGGGGATGGCTTGTAGCCAGCCTGTGCTGGCACTGTCCTACCAGTTATTAAAATGAATCTGAGAGCCTTTGGTGCCAGCTGGTAAAGAGTGATTGCCTGCCCCCAGATGCTTCCGTGGCTTCTACAACGCTCACACCCTTGCCCCTGCCAGTATGCAAGTATTACTAACCCCTGATGTTAACCTATGTCCATTTCACTTGGTGAGTGCTCATACCGTGGCATTTTTCATATCCCCTCTGCTAATAATTCACCATTTTTGTTAGATCGACAGAACTTTTTTAATCACTATCATTGTGGACACAGATTATAGTTGATGTTTTCAGTATTACTAATGCTGCTGTGGTAAATACCACATATTTACATCAAAGAAGTTGCTGATTTCCAATTCATTTTTAGTAGCAAATGAAAACTTCCTCTCCAGTGGATCCCTACCTGTCGTGAAGGCTGTTTACTAAACTCTTCCCTCACCGAGTTGAACTATCTTCTATACCTCTTGCGTTGGCCACTTTCTTGCTTGCCTTCTGAATTCACTTTTTTTTTTTTTTCTCTACACTGCTCTTGAAGTGTGTGGCTAGAACTGGACCTGACAGGTTCCTGAGTCATACCTAGGGGGCATGAAATGTGTTTTAATGACTCTTTTTCCATCCTTTTACTTTTCAATTCTGTGCTTAAAGACAGCCAAAAAGAAAAAAAGAAAAAGAAAAAAAAGCAGTATCACTAAGTGTTACTGTTAAAATACCAACCAGCATCTGACTCAGCCCTTCCCATCCTATATTTGCCTAGTCTTGTCAGAAACCCCTAACACACACTTGACTAGAGAGCGACCCTGTTTGTTTCTCCAGTAGTCTCCTGTGACTGAGCTTCTGCTGCTTCCTGTCACACAGCAGGGTTCTTGTTTGGGTGTTTTTTTGTTTTTGCCAAGGTCATTTTGAATATTAATTCTTTCCTCCCTGCTGTGAAGTGAGACATTTTCCAGAGTTTAGGTGGAAACTGTAAATAGGCTTCGTTGCTTCTCCCACTGGCCTGGCCTCTAGGAAGGGACTCCTGTTGTCCTGTTGTCCAGTTTTTGGGCAGGCCAGCCGAGGGGCACATGTTGCTCAGAGGAGAGGGGGCAGGTTGATTAAGAGGAGTCCTAAACAGGCCACAGTTGCCCAGCGGAAAAAACAAAAGCCTGTTGAATTCGTTCCGAAGTCTCTTCTGTTTTTCACATCTCTCGTGATCATGTTATTTACCAGATTATCTCTCTGTACTAAATCTTATGTGGTCACATGTTCATTTGGGAATCAAATAGACAGCACTTGGTCATGTGCCAGCTGCTCTGAGTCTTACGGCCCAGAGGCTCACAGGATAGAAGGAAGTTGTGCCTGTCACCTATGCTGTGTTAGAGGGAAATATATACTTTGATCTTTAGGCTATAAAAAAGAATTGTGGGAAGATGGGGGAAATAATAAATAACCTCCCTAGGCATTGCTGACTAGGTAAAATTGATTAATATATTAATATCTTCAATTTAAAGGAGTTATATTTGAATAGCTTAAATTTTGATCCTCTGTTACGGAATAATTTACACAATAGATTGTAAAGTACACGTGCCTCTTTCAAATGTGAAGTTAAAAAGGAAATAAACTATACCTGTGATTAAGATGATAATTTGGGGGGCGCCTGGGTGGCTCAGTGGGTTAAGCCTCTGCCTTCAGCTCAGGTCATGATCTCAGGGTCCTGGGATCGAGCCCCGCATCGGGCTCTCTGCTCGGCAGGGAGCCTGCTTCCTCCCCCCTCTCTCTCTCTCTCTCTCTCTCTGCCTGCCTCTCTGCCTACTGTGATCTCTCTCTGTCAAATAAATAAATAAAATCTTAAAAAAAATTTTTTTTGAAAGATGATAATTTGGTGTTTGGCAACTGAAAGATGTTTTGCATGCTTTTGTTTGTGGGCCTCTTGAGTCTAACTTTTCACTGTAAGATCAACTTAATGAAACACATGTTAGCATTACTCTACATCAAAATTCTGTACACACTCACCACGAAACTGCTGCTGTTTTGGGGCACCTGGGTGGCACAGTCGGTTAAGTGTCCAACTCTTGATTTTGGCACAGGTCCTGATCTCAGGGTTGTGAGATGCTGCCCCGCCTCGGGCTCCAGCCCCATCTTAGGCTCCGCCATCTGCTTGAGATTTTCTCTCTCTCCTGCTGACCCTCCCCCCAATAAGTAAATAGATCTTAAAAAAATAAAACTGCTGCTATTTTATTTGTGATTTTATTTACTATTGAGAGTTGTCCAACCTTTGGAAATGAGGAAGGGCATCTTGAGATAATTAAATTTCACATTAAATTTTATTCCATAGTCAATGTAAATTTTTTAAGGATCTTACCTGAGGTAAAAAAAAAGAAAAAGGTTAATGCGAAGATATCAACAGATATTAAAGCAAAGTGCACTAAACTGGCTTCTCCAGGACATCTTGTATGACAGCCTTTTTAATGATATGCTTGGTCCAGTTTTCACTGCAATAGATTATTAATAATGAGTGCATATTTAGTTAAAATTTTAACTTATATTTCATTACAAAATATATTTTATTGCTTTTTTTTTCTTAAAGAAAAAGTTTATTAAAATGGATGATGACTTTTTACTACAGGTTCACTTTTATGAACTTAGAGCATATAAAAATCATGAAACTAGGTGGTTTTCATCATTTAGGAAATATTCCCATGAAAATACATGTTAGAATTGCCTTGTCAACCAAAGCCAAATAGGGACACCGGATACATACTCATGTTCCTTCTGATTACTCACAATATCTTACCTCCTTTATTTTCCCACTTATATTTTCAAAATTTCTACAGAAAACATGCATCCTTTTTTCAGTAAGCATAAAGCAATAAAATATTAAAAAGACAAGGTAGCATTAGACAGTTGGGGGTAAAAAAAAAGAGAGAGAGAGAGAGAGAGAAAGACTGAAGTATTGGGAGTTCAGCTTAATGTGAATTCAAATTCTGCCTATTTTACTGGCCAGTCTGTGATTTCGGGTCTGCTGTTTTGTTACCACATTTTAATAAGCTACATTCTCCCTGTTGATCTTTTAACTGGAAGTCTCAATACCGCTGGTTGTCATTGTTCTGCAGAGTTCCCATGTATCCTGAATTGGGAGGTACGAAACCATTGCTCCCAGAGGAGAGAAAGATTTCAGCTCCCACAAACCTCTGCTCACACCATTCATTTTTTTTTTAAGATTTTATTTATTTATTTGACAGAGATCACAAGTAGGCAGAGAGAGGGGAAGCAGGCTCCCTGTTGAGCAGAGAGCCCGATGCAGGGCTTGATCCCAGGACCCTGAGATCGCGACCTGAGCCGAAGGCAGCGGCTTAACCTACTGAGCCAACCCAGGTGCCCCATCACACCATTCATATTTGTTCATTGATCAGTACGTGATCTTGTTTTATGTACATTTCTTTTTTTTTTTATTTAAGATTTTTTTTTTTTTTTTTATTTGACAGATCACGAGTAGGCAGAGAGGCAGGCAGAGAGAGAGGAGGAGGCAGGCTCCCTGCTGAGCAGAGAGCCCGATGCGGGACTCGATCCCAGAACCCTGAGATCATGACCTGAGCTGAAGGCAGAGGCTTTAACCACTGAGCCACCCAGGCGCCCCTATGTACATTTCTGTTGAAAGAAGACACCTTATTTAATGTGTATTGTTGATTCATTAATGTTGAGCTCGTTTCCAACTCATGCCGAGAAGATGCTTTTCTAACTCACGTATTTTCTCCATAAGACACATCAAAGCCTTCTCGTGCTGAGGAACACTAGCCCTCCAACACTGTGTTTGGGTGCTGTTAGAAACAGCAGAATCACCAAGAAAAAACACAAAAGTGCAAAATGCATTGCACTAAATAGACTGTGAAGAAGACATTTGTTGACAGTGTAAGAGCTGACATAAGAAGGCCGAGCGTCCCCTTCTCGGACCCCAGCTGGGAATGTGCATGCTGGGTTACTCACTCTGTGTTCCTCACTCTGCGCATGCCTGCTAATGACTACAAAAGTGCCAGGAGCGAGGGTTACAAATACATTTGAGTGTGCAGACAAATTTGTAAATAGAAACCTAGGAACAGTAAGGATCTACTGTGTAAGCTTCCTGATGAGTGAAAACTAGAAAACAGTAAGTTGTTTGTTTTTTTTAAGTTTGTTGTCATCCTTGTTGCTTTTATGTTGCAATTTATAGCGACTTAATCATGGCAAAAATAAACTAAAGAAACAGAGAAATGTTTAGGTCTAAAAGCCAACAATACAGGGATATCTATGCTTGTATGTGTGTATTTGTTTGCTTGTTTGTGTGTTTTAAGAGAGAGAGTGCATGTGCGCGCGCGCGCATGCGCGCGCACACACGTGTTGTGTGCACGTGAGGTACGGGGTTGGGGGAGGGAGGAGAATCTTAGGCAGGCTTCATGCTCAGGGTGGATCATGACCTGAGCTGAATTAAGAGTCATATGCTTAAGCGAGTGAGCCACCCAGGCGCCCCAAAGGCTTGTTTGATTGTCAAGAAAAATAAAATGTAAGATTATCTGAGACACTGTAGAACTCTCATACTGTTACTTTTCGTTAAATGTCTGTGGTTCAGATACCTGGTGTTACAAGTTCCAATAGATTATAAATAAAAAGTCCTCAAAAACAAGGATATAATTTTTGAGTATTGACATTTGGGTTGAGTGTCAATATGAGTCTTATGGAAAAAAACCCTTTGAGTGCTTCCTTCTACTAGGAATTTTGATGTTCTGTCTTACTCGGAGTCCTATACGATGATTACTTCTTTTCTTTTTTCATTTATTTTAATAATGTCTAGATCTTTCTTGTTCTTTGAAGGTATTGGGTTCTATTCTGAAAATATTTGTATTTTAACACTTTTCTTCAGCTGCAAGTATGTACATGTTCTTATGCGTGTTTATAGCACAGATATATGCGTAAGTGATCATTTATTTTTGGCAACCAGAAATTGGTTATTTCCTATTCAAAAGACTTGTTTCTAAAGCAGATGGTTTCACAGGATTTACTTATCGTTTGACTGCTGTTTATGACACTATTAATTATCCTATGGATTTTGGAAAGTAGATTTATTTTTCAAGATGTTGCTTTGGTTTCCTCTTCATGATGTATGTTGTGTGCTGATAGAAAATAAAGCTACTTTATTATTTTTTTAAGATTTTATTTATTTATTTTAGCAAGAGAGCACCCAAGCAGGGGCAGGAGCAAAGGGAGAGGGATAGGGAGGGGGAAGGAATCTCAAGCAGGTGCAGAGCATGGAGCCTGATGCAGGGTTCAATCCCAAGACCCCAAGATCATGACCTGAGCTGAAACCAGGAGCTGGACTCAACCAGATGAGCCACCCAGGTGCCCCCAAATAAAGCTACTTTATTTTTTTTTATTTTTAAATCATTTTTTAAAGATTTTGTTTACTTATTTGACAGAGAGAGAGCGCACAAGTAGGCAGAGAGGCAGGCAAAGTGAGAAGGAGAAGCAGGCTCTCTGCTGAGCAGGGAGCCCAATGTGGGGCTCGATCCCAGGACCCTGGGATCATGAGCCAAGCGGAAGGCTGCTGCTTAACCAACTGAGCCACCCAGGCATCCCGGTAAAGCTACTTTAAAATAAAGTGTTATATTAAAATATATTCCTTGGCCTTGCATGGCCTCAACAGAATCCTGCATAAATCCTAGCCCGTCGATACTAGTCCATTGTGCTCCAGTTGTTTTTTTCAGTGGCTAAAGTAGTGTAGTCGCAGATGATTTTTTGTTTTGCTCATGTTGCTTTCTTTTTCTGAAGGGCAGGGCTGTGTTTGTTGTGCCAAGTTCTTAAAAAGCAAGCAGGCCTGCCAGCAGGTTTGTGGAGGTTCCCTGGGGATGTCCTAAAGGAGGGGAGATTTGTAAGCTGGTGATAAGCAAGCCACTACAAACCCCTTTAGACGGTTGTCTGAGCAACTAAGGATCTGTACCTTGTAGAGCGAGGAATTGTTTATGCATAATCCCTTTGACCTGCTATCCGGAAGATAAGAACACTTTTTGTACTCCAAAGCCAAGGATAGGGTAGTAAAGAATCAGTTGGGTGGTGCCTAATCCCTGTTTTGTTGAGGAAGAGTCTTTCAGACAACTTGAAGTTAGGTGTGGTTTGCTTTAGCATGCAGTCAGGGACCTCCGCAAACACTCAGAGACGCTGCCTTCCTGTCTGGCTCAACTTCCTCTTAGCCCGTCTTTACTGTGGGGACACCAGCCCTGGCAAGATTGTGGAAGTCTACAGGTTGTAAGAGAATTTTATTTACAAATAAAATAATTCAAAGTTGCCTCTAGTATGGGGCTGAGAGTTAAGAGAATTGCATTGTAGTTTCAATTTTGCCCTTAATTAACTGGTTGCCTTCTGACAAATTGCCTCCTCGGGAACCTCCTCAGCTGTGAGGTGAGGGAGTTGGACAAGATGTTCTCCTCAGTCCCTTGCATCTCTCTCATTTTGTGTTCCATGGTTCTGTGATTCTTTATTTGTGGAGGCTTCTACCCGAACTGTACCATTTGTGAAGTCATATACCCTATCAGCGAACGCTGCATTTATCAGTGAACACTGCATTTATCAGCGGGCAACTAACTGGCCGCACACAGCCGTCTTCACCAACGAACGTCTAGATTTCTCCACTGCTGAGATGCCGCGTTCTCTATCATGTTTTAGCAGACTGCGCACAGTATGAAACCCAGCAGACGTAGATAGCTACTGACTTTTTTGCTTTTAGTTTTCAAAATCGAAACACAAAGCTGAATACCTCTCAAAAATATTGTTGGAATGAACTTTTGGAGAAAGCTTTAACAACCCAAGAGATGAGATTAACTTTGTTTTCCCTAGCTGTTTTGTGCAAGGCACACTGTGGACAGGGGTGCCTGGTACGGCAGCCTCTGGGAGTGGGGGGACCTCAGGACTCCTGCTCCTTCGTTTGCAGCTTTATCTTTAGGGCTGTGCGTGACTAGATTAGTTTGGAGGCCTTTGGCTACATTTAGCAGACATCCCAACCCATACTAGCTTAAATAATAAGGGAATTAATGGCTCATAACTAAATACAGAAGAAGGATGGGCTTCGGTGTTAGTTCAATCCAGTGTCATGGGCTCTGCTTCTCTGGAATTCCAGAATTCCCTCAGCAGTTCACTTTCGTTGGCTTATTTTTCAAGTTGTGCTCTCATTGTGCCAAAATGTCTGTAGCAGTTTTTGCTTTGTATTCACATATTACGGGGTTGGCGTTTCCCAACCTTTGGGTCACTGACATTTGGGGTCAGCTAATTTTTTCTTGTCGTGAAACTGTCCTGCACATTGTAGGATGTGTGGCAGCAGCCCTGGCCTTCACCCACTAGATGCCAGTAGCATCTCACTGCTGGGTTGTGATCATAAACGTCTCCTGACAAGCCAAATGTTTGCGGTTGTGGTGGGGGCTGGTGGGCAAGAATGCACTGACTGAGAACTGCTCAGCAAAGGAAGACATCATTTTGTCGGGTGGCTGTCTTAAGGATAAAGAAACGTGTTTCCTCAAAGACCCCAAATTTCCCACTTTTGTCTTACTGGCTCAACCTGGGTCACTCCCATTTCTGACCCCTCTCTGGTGAGGGGGAAGACTGTCCTTCAGACTAATCAGGCCCACCACTGGAGCTAGAGATGGGATCCATCCCCTGAGGCAGGTGACTGTTCAGGGGAGGGTGGTGAGTGCCTCAGCCAAGGCAGTGGGCAGGGATCATGCATGGAAGCCAGGCAGGACTCCCGGAAGTGTCCTTGACCGCTGAATTCTAAATGTGTCTTGCTTTTCTTCCTCTCAGTGAGGACTATGGAAAGAACTTTAAGGATATTACAAATCTCATCAATAACACCTTCATTCGGACTGAGTTTGGCATGGCTATTGGTCCTGAGAATTCTGGAAAGGTGAGACTCATTCACACACATATGAAGCTGTGCTTGATGCCACACATAGGGTTGTCAGATAATAATGTTGGAATGGTCCAGTTGTATATAGCAATATATTTAGTTTGCTGTTAGTGCATTTTTTTTTAAAGATTTTATTTATTTATCTGACAGTGAGAGACATAACAAAAGAGGGAACACAAACCGGAAGAGTGGGAGAGGGAGAAGCAGGCCTCCTGCCAAGCAGGAAGCCCAATGCGGGGCTTGATCCCAGGACTCTGGGATCATGACCTGAGCCAAAGGCAGACACCTAATGACTGAGCCACCCAGGCACCCCATTAATGCATTTTAAAATTAAACATAATTTAGTGCTGTTCATCAAAGAATGGAATTCAGCACACAGGTTCTTTTTTTTTGGGTGGTCCCTATCCAGGATCTAGCCAAACTCTTTAAAATTATGTAGCAGGGGCACCTGGGTGGCTCAGTGGTTAAGCCTCTGCCTTCGGCTCAGGTCATGATCTCAAAGTCCTGGGATCGAGCCCCGAGCTCTCTGCTCAGCAGGGAGCCTGCTTCCCCCCCACCCTCTGCCTGCCTCTGACTACTTGTGATCTCTGTAAAATAAATTTAAAAAAAAAATCTTTAAAATTATGTAGCAGCTGTTTGGCATCACAATGTATAATTCACAAAACAACATTTTAGCTTTGGGCAACTAGCTAATCTCAAACTGAGCAAGCTAAATTCACAGTTATGATGCACTATTTCAATTTAGGATAATATTTGTTATAAGACTAATATTTGAGTGTAGTATACCAATAATCTGTTTTTATAACTCTTTGTATTTTTGGAAATTTCTTAACGGATATCTGGTGAAAATGGTGTAAGAACTTTTGTGCTTTAATAGTATTATACTCTGAATCTGAACTTTTTTCTTCCTCATCAGGTGATTTTAACAGCAGAGGTGTCTGGAGGAAGTCACGGAGGAAGAATCTTCAGATCGTCAGATTTTGCAAAGAACTTTGTTCAGACCAATCTCCCTTTCCATCCTCTGACTCAGATGATGTATAGCCCTCAGAATTCTGATTATCTTTTAGCTCTCAGCACTGAAGTAAGTATAGTTGAGGAACTTGTGTTGCTTTTTTGCATTTTTATAAACTGAAAATATACAAAAGAACCCTATAGGAAATGCCTTTATATTGGACTGCTTTCTAGTGATTTTTTAAGGCATGAATTTGTATTTTTTGCATTATTTTCCAGTTTGGTAAAGGGCATGATTTTCGTGTACTATCTATTCCAGACAAGTATGATATCTAGCTGTCATTACACATTTTTTTAAGTGAGTAGATGCAGTGTGCTATCAGAGTAATGAACTAGAAAACAGTTTAATGTAATTATTCTTGTGTTTCAAGGGACAAGCATAAACTGTCAAACTCCTGATGTTGTTATTCCTTTCCTATGGCCAAACCACATCTTCATAATTTTTTTTTTGTTAGTTCCCAGTATATAAATCATATTGATTTCTATCTTTGATACTCCTGTATTAAATATCCAGAGTTTTAAATCTCTGCATCCCCTACCATATTCCTATACTGTCCCCAGGAACCTGTGCCTCTCCCTGACCCTCCCACCTCTCTTCTGAAACTTCTATGGGGAGCACATTTCACTTTTCCTTTCCTGGAGGACCAGTCTCCTTTACCATCGACTTTAAAGGCCCAAAGTGGCTGAGTTGCTAGACTGTGATAATCATAATTATACTTTTCGTTTACATGGGCTCTTTCTCATCTTATTTCTTAGAGTGTGGTCTCCTGACCTGCAACATCAGTTAGAAACCCCTGGGAGAGTCTTTTAATATGCAGTTCTTTGGCCCCAGTCCAGACATAGTCCGCCAGTGACTTTTGTTTTTGAGGTGGCTAGTATTTTTAACAACCTTCCCAGCTGTGTCTGCACACTAAAATTTGAGAGCCATTGCTGTGGGGACAGAAAGTGGGTCATCAATGTGGACAAGTGGGGCTGAGCAAAGGGGTAGCATGGGGAGGATGAAGAGCTGTCTGGGGTCTGGGCCTTCTGTGCAGATCTTTGAGCAGAGGGAAGGCTAGAAGATTCAAGGAGATCAAAGTTAAGTTTAGGCAAAGGAGGCTAGAGGAAGGAAACTGGCCTGCTGGGTAGGCTTCAGATCTTAAAGCAACAATTCCAGGAAGTCAGCCTCCAGCAGCTTGAGCTAGGCCCTTCGAGGGAGCAAGGAGACCCCCAGAGGAATGGACAGAATCAGCAACCCCCCCCCACTTTTTTTAAAGATTATTTATTTATTTATTTGACAGGCAGAGATCACAAGTAGGCAAAGAGGCAGGCAGAGAGAGAGGCAGAAGCAGGCTCCCCGCTGAGCAGAGAGCCTGATGTGGGGCTCAGTCCCAGGACCCTAGGATCACGACCTGAACCAAAGGCAGAGGCTTTAACCCATTGAACCACCCAGGCGCCCCAGCAACCCCCCTTTTGAATCCAACCCCATTGCCATTACCGAGTGTCTTAAGATTATTGAAACACGCTGTCCTCAGGAAGAGGTAGTCACAGTCTGCTTTTATATCTGTTTCTTCCAGTTAAGGGTAAGTTGGAGGTATAAATAATCAGGGTTGGGGTGCCTGGGTGGCACAGTCAGTTAAGCATCCAACTCTTGGTCTCAGCTCAGGTCATGATCTCAGGGTTGTGAGATTGAGCCCTGCCTCTTCCTTCAGCTCAGGTCATGATCCCAGGGTTCTGGAACCGAGCCCTGCATCCGGCTCTCTGCTCAGCAGACAGCCTACTTCCCTCCCCCTTCTCTCTCTGCCTGCCTCTCTGCCTCCTTGTGATCTCTGTCAAATAAATAAATAAAATATTTAAAAAAAAAAAAAAGATTCTCTCTCTTCCCCTTTCCCCCACTTGCTCTCTCTCTCAAATAAATAAATAAAATCTTAAAACAACAACAAAAACCCAGGGTTGAGAAGACAGACCAATATGTACTAAGATATAACTATAGGTGATACCAGATATTTCCGAGTAGAATTTGGTAAATTAGAAATGCTGGGAGGTGAACGTTATCAGAGAAAGAGTTACAGAAGGAAGAATGGTGGGTAAGCGTGGGGGAGCACGTAGGTAAATTCTGCCTAGATCAGCCCCTTATAATTACAGCTGTACCAGGACATCTCTGTCCCACCTCCACTGGGTCTGGGCCCAGTGGGCTTGTGTTGCCAGTGTAAAGGACATTGTCAGTCTTTATCTTACCCAGCCTTTGCTACATTTGAAAATAAATGGCCAGTCTCTCCTTTTGGGAACTTGGCTTCCTTGGCTTCTTTCTTACCTTCTAACCATTCCTTCCTGGTCTCTTTCATAACTCCTGTTATGAAACTCCTTTGAAACTATATTTCAAACTCCTGTCAATCTACCCTCAAGTTGCTACTGCTCATTTCATTTTGAGCAATCTCCTCCCCTCTGACCATTGTAACTGTCCCTGTAATGTGTAAGATTCTCAAATCCATATTTCTGGCTTCCTCCTAGGACTTCAGATTTCTATCTTGCTTCTCCCCTATTACACACATACACAAACACACACACACACACACTCTGCCCTACAGGAAAAAGCTACCAGTTCTACCGAATCTAGTTTCTAGATTCTTCCTGAGCCTATTCCTCATAGGTGTGGTTTAGGGCCTCACTAACTCTTTTTTTTTTTTTTTTTTTTTTAAGATTTTATTTGAGAGAGAGTGAGTGAGCATGAGTGGGGGGAACAGAAGGCAGAGAGAGAAGTAGACTTCCTGCTGAATAGGGAGCCTGACACAGGGCTCGATCCAAAGACCCTGGGATCATGACCTGAACTGAAGTCAGACACTTAGGCAGCTGAGGCCCCCAGGGGCCCTGGAGCTTCACTAACTCTCAATGAACTAATGAGGCACTACTTTTTTACTGCTTTTCCTGTTTCTGGTCTAAAATCCATCTCTCCTGTTGCCATTCAAGTATTATACCTTTAAAAAAGTAAAACTGAGGGGTGCCTTTGTGGCTTAGTCAGTTAAGTGTCCGACTCTTTTTTTTTTTTTTTTTAAGATTTTATTTACTTATTTGACAGAGAGAGATCACAAGTAGGCAGAGAGGAAGGCAGAGAGAGAGGAAGGGAAGCAGGCTTCCTGCTGAGCAGAGAGCCCGATGCGGGGCTCGATCCCAGGACCCTGAGATCATGACCTGAGCCGAAGGCAGCGGCTTAACCCACTGAGCCACCCAGGTGCCCCAAGTGTCCGACTCTTGATTTTTGACTCAGGTTCTGTGATCTTGGGAATCTTGGTAGTCGTGAGATTGAGCCCTGTGTCAGGCTCCATAAGCATGGAGCCTGCCTAAGATTCTCTTTTTCCCTCTGCCCTTCCTCTACTCCCCCCATCCCATATTCACATGTGTGTGTGCATACTCTTTCTCTCTCAAAAAAAAAAAAAGTAAAACCACGGGCCCTCTGTGAGCTGGCCCTAACATCTCTCCCTAGCATGAGCCCCTTCTTACCTCACCTTGGAATTTGTGCTCCATCAGTGTCTGATGTCTTTGAACTCCTTGCCGGCGCTGTGATGTTTTATCCCCTCTGGCCTCAGCTGGTACTACTGTGTATTTGTGCAATAACATCCCATCTCCCCATTTGCCTTCTTATGGTTACACTGCTCATTATTTAATACTAGTTCAGCTGTCTTCACAAACCTTCTCTGAAGCATTGTTGCTCCCCTCCTTATTCTCACCCTGGACACAGTGTTTCCATAACTTACCACATTGTATCAAATTCTTATCCACGCCCCTTGTTAAACTCTGAGCTCCTTAAGAACAGGGAATATATTGTTAGAATATGTTGTCTTTGTGTCCCTAGTGCAACCTCTGGGACAGTGCCTGGCACACAGTAGGCACTCCATAAGCATTTGTTATTCTGAATTTCCAAAACCCTGAAGGGGCCCCCATCACTCAAGTGTGTATGGAGGGCAGGCTGCTTGATGGAACTTCAGTGTGTGTGTTTACTGTCCCAAATGATTAGATATGAATTATTAAAGGTCATATAAGCAGCTGCACAAGACAAAGCTGGAATTCTGATAAGTCATTTATAATCTTTCAGAATGGCCTGTGGGTGTCCAAGGATTTTGGGGGAAAATGGGAAGAAATCCACAAAGCAGTATGTTTGGCCAAATGGTGAGTAACAGAAGACTCCATCTGTGCAGGGCCCTAACCCTATCCTGACAGTGCTGCCAGAAGTCACAGGACTAAGTACTGAGCACCAACTACGTGCCATGTAGTCTTCAGGGTGCCATGAGGGGCCTAAGGGGAGGGACATGACACAGATCTTGACCTGGAGGAACTTCTGATTCTGCTGGGAAATAATCCTTAATCTCACTAAGCATTAGGATATAAAGTGTAAAACAGGGCGCAGGACTGAGTAGCTGCTGCCCGCAAAGGTTTGTTCTCCATAAAAGGTGACGTCAGTCAGAATAGCATAACACACAGCTCTGACCTGGGACTTACGTACTTCTCTGTGGCCAGATTTATATTCCCTCACCTAGAGATCCATTCCGGCTGTGCGGAATGTAGCAAGGAATCAGGAAGAAAGCCCGGAGAACCCCCAGAGCGCTAGAGTCACCCTGTGCGTGCACCAAAAATCCTTCCCCTCTCTCGGTGGGACACCCCCAGCGCGCGCGCGCGCGCGCACACACACACACACACACCTCCCTGCTTAAGATGATGCAGCTGAGGAGCTCTTACTTGGGAATTGGGTCACCTTTGTTCAAAACTGGCTTAGTCAGTGGCTTAACCTCGCTGGGCTCTAGTGTTTCCCTTTTGTGAAAGATTTACTGGGGGGAGTTTGGGGGATGGTGGAGCAAGAATTGAATTAAAAACCTTCATACCACCACAATTCTGATTATGCTCCCACCCTAGAGCCTTTTCTTTCTCTTTGACTAATTTCAGCAAATTTGTGCATCTGGTTTCCCTGTTGAGAGCAGATTGGTGCCTGAGGTGGGGGGTATGAGTGCTAGCAACCAGCATGGCCAGCTTGAGACGCCACTGCTGAGAGCAGCACGGAGGCAAGAGAGCTGTAAAAGCATCCACACCAGAGAGGCCATGACAGGATGTGCTGCTTTTGTGCCGGATCAAGAGAGCCCACGTAGCTCAGTAACTTCTAATGGGAACACTGTGTTACAGTATCAGATGCTTGATGTTCATGAACATGACCCATAGTCCCAGGGAAGAATTTAATAGTTAATATCCTCTACTTAGGGAGTCAGGGAGATGTGTAATACATTGCTAAATATATCTACTGAAATTAAAATATTAAAAAAATACTGCTTCAAGTGGCCTTTTCCCAGAAACTGCTGATAAAATGAGGTCTGTGCTGCCGCGCTCTGGGACACAGGCTACATCTGCATTCGGTCTGTGTATTTTTACGAATTGTGTTTGTGCCTTATATGGTCTTATCAGGAAGGAAGTAATTTTAAAGGAACTAAGTTAACAAGTTGCTTCACTCTCAGTGGACCTAAAGTATATAGGACGTGCTCAAGTAAGACTATAGTAAGTTTTGGTCATTAAAACTCACCATGATACATGTATATCAAATCAACACAGTATGCACTCTCAATGGTATTTGTCAGTTAGACCTTAAATAAAAAGCCCAAAGAAGCAAACGGAAAACTCATCTTTAAAGCCAAACCTTTAGGGTTTCCTGGCTGGCTCAGTTGGTAGAGCGTGCAACTCTTGATCTCCGGGTCATGGGTTTGAGCCCCATGTTAGGTGTAGAGATTACTGAAAATTTTTTAAAAATCTTAAAAAAAAAACCTAAAATTCATTTTTATTTTACTTTTTAAAAAGATTTTATTTATTTATTTGACAGAGATCACAAGTAGGCAGAGAGAGAGAGAAGAGGAAGCAGGCTCCCTGCTGAGCAGAGAGTCCGATGCGGGATTTGATCCCAGGACCCTGAGATCATGACCTGAGCTAAAGGCAGAGGCTTAACCTACTGAGCCACTCAGGCGCCCCTAAAATTTGTTTTTAAGTGGTATTTTGTATCCTCTATAGGTTTTTTTTTTTTACTTTTGTAACTTGTTTCTTTGATTAGTGTCTAAATACAAGATAATTGGACAGCTGATAACTATTTACACACCTTTTAGATCTTTGATTTCTAGGAGTTGACAGCCTGAAGTGCTGAAAGAACATGCTCAGAGCCCACCCCTTGTGCTGGTGCTCAGCCAAAAGTACTGCCAGGTCTGAACCTACTGTCCTACAAACTCCCTTTCCAAGGTAGAATTTAAATAATTCAACCTCTGACCTAGCTGTCTATTTGAGATGAAAGAACTAAGTTATTTAGCACATGCAAAGCATTGAACTAGGTTCTGAGGGGAAACAACAAAGCATAAAACTTCATACCTGTCCTAAAGAACCCGATAATGTAGTAGGAGAGGGAGGTGTACACTGTTCCATTAAAATAATTAAATAGGAGACAAAGGAGTGCCAAATGGCTGGTGCAGAATGGCATGGTGCTCTAGAACACAAGGTTTCTCAACCCCTGGCACTCATGACATTTTGGACTAGAAAGTTCTTTGCTGTGGGGAAGTCGTCCTAGCATTGCAGGATGGTTAGCAGCACCCCTGGTCTCTGCCCATTGGTACTAGCAACAACTCCCCATCCCTCAGTTGCAACAATCAGAAATGTGCCCTGGGGAGTAAAGTCACCCCCGGTTGAGAATCACTGCTGTAGAAATTTGCAGCAAAGAAGCTTTCCAGGTGGAGTGCCAGGAAAAGTTTCATGGAAGAGCTAGATTTTCAGCTGGAACCTAAAGACTGTGAGGTTAGATCTGATTATAGGAGAGAAAAAAGCATTTCAAGCCGGAAACAGGAACAGCAAATGCAAGAGGCAGATTTGGAGAGTGTAAACAGACCAGTCTGACCATCTGGAAGAGTTCACGTGAAGTAGTGGACAGGCAAAATCCTGGGCCAGGCTGGGGGGCACCTTGACCAGTGTGGCTAGGAGAGTCCAGCACACAGCACCCCAGAAGGCCGTTTCACCTGGCACCCATGGGTGGAGCTTATCACTAGAATCTTGCTTGGAGCTTTGTGACTGCCATTGACAGCAGTCTTGAACCGTGTCTTTTCTCTGTCTTTGCCTCTCTTTAGGGGATCAGAAAACACCATCTTCTTTACCACCTATGCAAATGGCTCCTGCAGTAAGTATATTTTAGTTCCAAATAAGAATGTCCTGTGGTCCATTCACAGTAGAATGTTCTGGGTTGTAAGAGATAGAAACACCAGAGATCCTTCTATTCTTCTGTAGTTTTAATAGCTAAGATAACTGTCAAGGATTTTAAAAATTTTGAAAGTACTGAGCCTAGATCGAATAAAAACATGAGCTATACAGAGAGGCAGTGTACTTAATTTTAGCAATGTGTTTACATAAAGTAATTATTAGGCTACAAACAATAACAAGTCGAAAGAGCATGGAGATTGTGTTGTGATGTTGTCAGCTTTCCAAACCATGGCACCATTTCAAAGAAGAAAGCATGGTCTTTCATTTATTCATTCAACAAACTCATTTTTTCATTCACTGATTTGCACACCTGCTGTAATATGCCATTCACTGTTCTAAGGATGGAGAGAGCAAGACACCCAAGCTTCTCTTATGGGGCTTGAGTTCCAGTAGGGGGTATTAGATGATCAGCAAGAAAACCAAAAACTCAAACAAGACTACTTAAAATAGAAAAAGATAAGTGTGCCATGAAGAAAGCAAAACAGGATGCTGTGGCCGTGACATGTTTATGCAACACTGTATTTGAATTAAGTAAACTCTGGCATTCTGTCTAGTGCAGAACCTCACATGTACAATATTAAAACCCAAATGTGAATTCCCTATATCTAATGCTGTGTCATTTTACATTGTTATTTGATTAACAAGCATAGAATTAAAAATCGTTTAGCTATAAAATTAACATTCTAAAACGATTGTTTTGGGCTGAAGGCTCACCAGTATGTGAAATTTTAATTAATGTTTTGTCTTGTTTAAGAAGCTGACCTTGGGGCACTGGAATTATGGAGAACTTCAGACTTGGGGAAAAGCTTCAAAACCATTGGTGTGAAAATCTACTCATTTGGTCTTGGGGGACGTTTCCTTTTTGCCTCTGTGATGGCTGATAAGGTGAGTATTGCCTCTTTTGGCAGTTCTGAAATTTCTGTAAATATGTCTCAAATGGATCCCTTTTACCACTAGTACTGGCAGAGTTTCTTGCCTTTTTGTAGTGTTTAGTATCACTAACATTTGGAAGTAATTCTTTCTAAAGGCTGATTGATTCTTCTGGGCTCTGCACACCAGCCTGTTGTCACCATATGATTACCCACAACCCCAGAATTTGGACTTTACTCAGACACAGATACCTGAAAAAAAAGCAATCCACTTGCTCACTATCCAATAATGATAATAGAAATAGGTAACATTAATTAAGTACCTGCTGTATTCTAGATACTATTCTAGACCCCAGGAATATAGCATTGAACAAAACAGATAAATGTTCTGCTCTCAGAGCTTATATTTAAGTAGGGAGTTAGATAGATACTAAACTAATAAATATGACATAATATTAGGTAGTGATTAAAGCTACGAAGAAATCTATAACAGAGTAAGGAACTAGAATGTGCTAGGAACTGGAGTAGTCCTGTTTTAGATCAGGTGGCTTGGATGGGCTGAGACCCAACTGAAGGGAGAGCGTAGTTCTGTGTACATCTGGGCTGAAGGAGCAGTAAGCACAAAGACAGTAAGCACAAAGATTGGAACATGCTGGAAATATTGAAGAAAAGTGAGGATGGCTTCATGGCTAGAGCACAAAGAAGGGTGATCCAAAGAGGGGGAGCCAGTGGTCAAATGAGAGAAGACTTTAATGGGCCAAGACCTTGGGTTTTCTTCTTCTTGTTTTGGGGAGCTATGAAAGGCTGTGAGTGGGGGAATAGCGTAAGTTGGCTTCTGTTTCGACAGAGTAGGTAGGTGTAGAATAGCCTGACGGGCAGAAATGGAAGTACCAAGAGCAGCTAGGAGCCCGTGACAGCAGGGAGAGAGATGGTAGGCTGTTAATGTGGACGAGTGAGGCAGTGGTAAGATCTTGGATGTATTGTTAATGTATTGCCAGTAGGATTTGCTGATGAATTAGATGTGGTTTGTGAAGAAATGAGAGGAACCAAAGATAACTTTAGAATCTTTGCCCTGAGCAACTGGGTGAATGATGGTACCATTTCCTGAGATGGCAAGAGAACTAACTTTGTAGGAGAAAAGTCAAGAATTCATTTTCGGGTATGACATGCCCACTAGACACCTAAGTGGAAATGTCGAGTAACATTTGGGCATGAGGCTCCCCAGCTTATATGGTATATGAAGCTGTGCAACTAGTTGATATCTTCTGGAGGACTGAGCGCATGCTGGAGCACCCCGGTGACACTGAAGGGTTGGAAAAAGATGAGAATCCAGCAAAGAAGACCAAGAGGGAGGTGGGGAATCAGACAGGGATGCCACGAAATCCCAGGGGAGGAAGTATCTCAGGAATAAGGAGTGATCAGCTGTGTGCAACTCAGCTGAGATGTGGGATTAGAGCAGTCCTCAGAATGACCCACTTTAGTTGGCAAAGTGGAGATTGTCGGTGACCTTGACAAGTGCAGTTTCTTCAGAGGACTGGGGTTAATGGACTGATTACAGTGGGTTCAGAGAGAATAGGAGTGGAGATGGGGAAGTAGACACAATGACTTCACATAACTCCCTCCAGCAGTTGCACAGAATCTTCCCAGCAACCCGGGAGCAGGTCCTCTTGCCTCAATTTGTATTTGAGGAGATTGAGTAACTTGCTCGGGTCACCGAGAGATGGAACTGTGGTGGGAATCAGAATGACCCACTCTGGAGGGGGCCTCCTGTGGTGCAGCGCTAGTCTACCAGGTCACCACCCTACTGTACGCTTTTGAATTCTAGTTCTTACCTGCAACAGTAAGACTGAAAGTGAACTTCCAGGTGTGAGCTAGAGACGTAAGTCAAATGCACTTGCCACTGAACTTTAAAGAGTGTTTAACATTAGGAGGCGCTGGGACTAATTCTTGTGCACTGGCCAACTGTGTCTAGTAGGTACTTTAAGCTCTTCCTCAGAGAGGAGGTATTACCTGCCTTCTTAACAGACTCCTTTCAGCATATAAATACCTCCTGATCAGCTCCCTTATATTGGCCACTTCCCAGGCTGTGCAGGACTTTCATTATGGCGATTCACAGACCTTTATTCCTTAAGAGGAGACGTGTCACATCTTGACTTCCCTGTGATCTCCCAAGCATGGGTTTCATCTCCCTTTTTTAGACTCTTAATTATCTAGTTCTTTGGATTATGCCAGGACTATCTCAAAAAAACCAAACTTCTGTGCAGCAGTCATCATTTTAAGAATTATCTGAGCAAGCATATGTGAATGCCTATAAAGCCAAACTAAGATGGCCCCATCACCCCTTTAGCTCTGTTGAAGGAAATGGGAATGTCAGAGGTTGGGAAGGTTATATCTTACAGGGCCATACCAGAATGAAGAAGCCAAAGAGGAAGTCAAGATAACCTTTGTTATAATAGAATGGATTGTTCTATGGCCTGGAACTTTGCTAGGGGTTGGAAATTGCTTTGCTAACTGGTACTGGGACCTGTCAATTATAACAGTTGTACCTAGTGAGGAAATGGATAATGATACTCATAATTATGAATAATAAGGTTCCTATTCATGTCCCTGCACAGGGCATCTTGGCAGAAAATTAAAAAGATAAATATTGGCATTTGTTCCAGGATACAACAAGAAGGATTCATGTGTCAACAGATCAAGGGGACACATGGAGCATGGCCCAGCTACCTTCTGTGGGACAGGAACAGTTCTATTCTATTCTAGCAGCTAATGATGACATGGTGTTCATGCATGTCGATGAACCCGGAGGTAAGAGCTCTTTCAGCGGCCCGCCCTTGAATGCTTAGAGATGTAAGCTTCAAGTTCGACTTTGAACTTCCTTCTTACATGTTGACTTTTTCACTTACCCCGAGGTATTTATTATTGTCATACTGAATATACTGTCTTACAGAGAATATGTAGTCTCTGTTAGAAAAGCCCCTTGCTTTGACTCTGTAGTATGGTTTATGTGTATGCTCAAGTATTCTGGAGCACTGCTGCTCAAAGAACGGTCAGAGGACTGGCACTGGTTTGCAAACTCTTTGTTACCAAGTAAGCACAGAAAACAATAGCAGGCATTGAGAAACTCCTATAGCCTTTGACCAAGTCTTTTTATATCTGTTGAATCTAATCATTAAAAAATGGTGGATTATATTTTGTCTATCTTTTGTACTTCACTCTTCTTATGATTAATTTTTATTATACTTTACAAAGGATCAGTTTGTGCCATAGTAGAAATTTAAAAATTAATCTTTTACCAGGGCACTTGCCTGGCTCGGTCAGAAGATCACGTGACTCTTGATCTGGGGATTGTGAGTTCGAGCCCCACACTGGGTATAGAGATTCCTTAAATAAATAAAACTTTAAAAAAAATTGATCCTTCACCACAGATAGTTTGAGAAGCATTGTTCTGGAATATGAAGATTTAGAGAGATGTATGATATGAATCCAAAGGCATTGCCTCTGCCACCAGAATAGATCTGGGGAGGTCTTTTCTGTAGCATCTGATTAATCCAGCCAACAAACAGTATCTGCCATACTCCAGGCAACAAGCTGGTGCTGGAATTAAAGGTGGACATGAAAATCATGAGTATCAAACTGTGATTAATTCTCAGGTCTGCATCTACATCATGAAGAGAGACAGTTGGCTAATGTACACAGTCCGTACTGCGGTCAGTCGTGTGTATGGCTGGACTCTTGTTTTCCCTCTGTTCCCTCCCAGACTTAGTGTTTTTGTTTGTTTGCCTATTTCAGATACCGGATTTGGAACAATCTTTACCTCAGATGATCGAGGCATTGTCTACTCCAAGTCCTTAGACCGACATCTCTACACCACCACAGGTGGCGAGACAGACTTTACCAATGTGACCTCCCTCCGTGGGGTCTACATAACAAGTGTGCTCTCAGAAGGTGAGTCTGGGTACAGCTGTCCTTCTCCTGAAGATGTTGGGAGTTGAGGTCGTGGGGGAGAATAATGGTTCTGATCCTGAGGTAATGTTGCTCGCCTGGCCTGCAAAACTATCCATGTAAATTCTGACTCTTTATGTTACGTAAATTATGGTAAACAGGATTAAAAAGAAGTAAAGCAACAGCAGGTAAAAAGAAAGACTTTTTGAGTTCTATGTTGTTTAGGGTAAGTGTTAAAAAAAATAAGTTTTCTATATAGGGAGGTTCAGGACTGGGGGAATGAGCCTGAGTTTGAACCACTGCTTGCTTTTCTCCTGGTAGAGGGCACAGCTATAGCCAGCCAGCATTTCTCTTGTGTTCTACTCAGTAGTTCTGCAGAGCTCACTTTGCTAAGGCCCAGTTGTACAAATAAACACGCCACCCTAAAGTATAAAAAGGCTCTTAAGGTTTTGTTTAAATATGTATTTATTTTTTGGTAGGAGGTGGGGCATTGTTTGTTTTTATTTGTAAATTTTATTACTTGTAGTGGTCTGCAAGGTCTTAATCAGTATTGGCCCCTGTTTCCTCCCTGACCTCAGCTGCCACCCATTTCCCCTCTACTTACTGCATTCTGGTCACTCCAGCCCTCTGCACACACACATGGTTTAGAGATGTGCAGGCACTGTTCTCTGTTTCCCCAAAGAGCTGCAAGGCTAATGCCGTGCCCCTTCCCATCTATGCTCATATGTTGCTTTCTGATGAGAACTTGCCAGGGTATCCCGTTGGAAACTTGTCTGCCCTCCCCTCCTCACAGATGCACTCAGCCTCTCTTTAGCAGGTTTTTCCCATACACTTATTGTCTCACGTACTATATAATTTACCTATTTACAGTGTCTGGTGTCTGTCTGATCCTGCCGGGATGTATATTTCCAAAAGTGGGTTTTTTTTTTTTCCTGTTTTGTTCACTTGAAAGAGTCTCAAGGGTTTACAGCAGTTTTCATAGTAGGCACGCAATAAATGTTTATTGACTAAATGAATTGTCCTTCATTTGCCTTCTTGTTTGATTTTCGTTGGACATCTCAAAGCATATTGCCTCTGAATTTAAACCTGCAATAGTTTATGTCATTGAAAATAGAACAGGGAAGAGACTTGTAGAAAAAAGGAAAGAAAAAGTACAAGAGGTCAGATACAGAGTAGTGGAGAGACAGAAACTAGGAATTATTACGCCAGACTCACACTCATACATTCAAATCCCATTCAGATCTTGAGAGTCCCTAAAACAAGCCTGGTATCCTGGCCTTCTCTGAGGAAAGAGTGGGATGCCTTCCCATTGTAGATTTTACTTCCAAGGCAAGCAAGCAAGCAAGGAGAATGGACATCAGCCTGTTTTGTTGGTGAGGAGATAAAAGGTATCTTTTCAAGAGTATCAGTCTAGATGATTCCTGTCATCAGCTGAGTCCTAGGAAGGTGGGAAGCCTTGCTCAGATATCGTGGAGTGCTCTCTGGATCAGTTTCCCACCAGCACCGAGCTGTTCCGTTGGATATCACAAGCTTGTGGGCCTCCAGACTTGTAATGGTATTGTGTAGTCTCAGGAGAGAGATATGCAATGATCAACTGAAGTCCATAAGATGCTTCCAGTGTTTCAGACTTAGTGTCCTTCTTCTCCCATTCAGATAATTCCATCCAGACTATGATCACTTTTGATCAAGGAGGAAGATGGAAGCATCTGAGGAAGCCTGAAAACAGTGAATGCGATGCTACAGCAAAAAACAAGAATGAGGTTTGTTTTAACCCAAGTGTCCTATGTGCTTGGAGCAAGGCAGCCGTTCCATTCTGCTCTGATGGGTGCCAGGCCTTTGAATAATGAAGTTTTGTAAGTGATTAGGGTCTGCAGCTGTAAGCCGAAAGTTTAGAAATGAGAGTAATGAAAGGAACTTAGAATGCAGGAAAAGGAACTATAAAGAAAAGCCAAAAATACCATGGATTATTTGTCTTCTTAAAAAAAAAACTGAAGGCTAAAATTTTGTGTCTTACTAAACTGCTGAATGCAGACAGAGCGGAAGGTGGGCCTGTGATCATTCAGGAGTCAGCATGGCGGCTCTGAGACTTTAGGAATCCTTCACGAAGCTATGAGCATTCATGAGCAGTGCAAAGCCGTGCTGGCCAGAAACAAATGGAAGAGAACTTGGCTTTCTCTTCCCCTCTGCCTGGGCTCCATGTGGCTGGCGGGTATGGATGGAGACGCCGTGCCATCGCAGGTGTGAAAGTCGGAGCTGACCCCTCTGAGGAGAGGCTAAGAATAGAATAGAGATAGAAGGGCATTGCTCCGGGAGATCCCAGATTCCAGGAGTGACGGGTCTTGACAGGCAAGAAATAAAGAAAAGAAAAAAGCTTTGTATCTGACTCCTAGGGAGTTTGAGAGGAGCGTGAGGAAACCCTGGGAGTTTTCTTCAAAAAGTGACAGTGTTAGTAGTTCCCAAGGTCTCCTCAGAACACCTGTGGCTAATAAGCACTCTGCTGTTATAGGTGGGATTTTTGTTTTGTTTGAGAACCTCAGACAGTGTGAGGTAGGGTACCTGTACCCCCCACAAAGCTCTCTCTCCTTCTCTGTACTCGTAAGTGCTGTGAGCCTCTCTCTCCTCTCCTTTTTTCCCATCCGTCTGCCATGGCCTTGCCTTAACCTGGCTGGGGCAGTGGACTCTCAACTGATGTGGCCCCCCTCACACTCCCATGCCTCTCCCTCCTCAGGACACGTTAGGCTTCCCCTCTGCCTGTGAATAAATGCTGTGCCTCTGACGTGGTGAATGAAGGTCCTCTCCTCCCTGACAGGCTCTCTCCTGCCTTTTCATTGTCACTGTCCATCTTATCACTGGTATTTTCCTTATTGTAGCCCTCTGCTGCTCCCTGAACACCCCACATGCACCCCTACCTCTATGGCCTTGCCCACGAGACTCCTGGGGAAATTGTGGCTGATTTTCCACCCCCAAGTCATTAGAGTTAGTAGAAATCCTGACCATCCTCCTGCCCACCTTCAGTTAGAATTAATGCTTCCAGGAGCCTGAGTGGCTCAGTCAGCTAAGCGTCCGCCTTCGGCTCAGGTCATGATCCCAGGGTCCTGGGATCGAGTCCTATATCAGGCTTCTTGATCAGCGGGGAGCCTAATTCTCCCTCTCCCCCTGCTCATGCTCTCTCTTGCGAGCTCTCTCTCTCTCTCAAATAAATGAATAAAATCTTTTTTTTTTTTTTTAAGATTTTATTTATTTATTTGACAGACAGAGATTACAAGTAGGCAGAGAGGCAGGCAGAGAGAGAGGAGGAAGCAGGCTCCCTGCTGAGCAGAGAGTCCGATGTGGGGCTCCATCCCAGGACTCTGAGATCATGACCTGAGCCGAAGGCAGAGGCTTTAACCCACTGAGCCACCCAGGCGCCCCTGAATAAAATCTTTTTTAAAAAATAGGATTAATCCTTCCTCTTCATTTCACCAATAGTTTGCTTGAACCTCTTTTTTATTGTAGTAAAATATATGATAGAACATGAACATTTTATCCAATCAGACCTCTTTTAAAGCATTAACTTTCTTGTAAAATCTCTCTTTTTAAAAAAAAGATTTATTTGTTTGTTTTAGAGAGAGAAAGAGTGTGTGCACACATGTGCGGGGAGGGGCAGAGGGAGAGAATCTTCGAGCAGACTCCCTGCTGAGCTCAGAGCCCAATGCAGGGCTCAGTCCCAGGACCCTGAGATTATGACCTGAGCTGAAACCAAGAGTCAGATGCTTAACTGACTGAGCCACCCCAGCGCCCCTCAGAAATCTCTCTTAAAGGCAGGACTGGGTCTTACTTTGAATCAGTACCACATCTTGTACAGTACCTGAAATATTTCAGGCATTCATGAAGTTTGTGTGGAATCATGCTTAAATATTGATCACAGGCTTCAGTATAATGCAGGAATAAAATAAATTAAGACATTGCACATGAGAAAATAATTGCATAATTTGCTCCCAAATATACTAATGCATTTTGGGATCAAGAATATTCCACTGGGGGCACCTGGGTGGCTCAGTTGGTTAAGCAACTGCCTTCAGCTCAGGTCATGATCCTGGAGTCCCGGGATCGAGACCTGCATCAGGCTCCCAGCTCCATGGGGAGTCTGCTTCTCCCTCTGACCTTCTCCCTTCTTGTGCCTTCTCTCACTGTCTCTCTCTCAAATAAATAAATAAAATCTTAAAAAAAAAATAAAAAGGAATATCCCACTGGGACTATAACTCAACAACAAAAACAACCCAAATTAAAAATGGTCGAAGGACTGGAATAGACATTTCTCTAAAGAAAATATACAAATGGCCAAGAAGCACATGAAAAGATGCTTGACATCACTAATTATTAAGGAAATGCAAATCAAAAGCACAGGGAAAGATCACATCACACATTAGAATGGCTACGACTATCAAAAACAAAACAAAATAACGTGTTGCTAGGGATGTGGAGAAATTAGAACCCTTGTGCGCTGTTGGTGGATATGAAAAATAGTGCAGTCTCTATGGGAAACAGTATGGTGGTTCCTCAAAAAATTAAACGTAGAACTACCATATGATCCAGCAATCCTACTTCTGGGTATATATCCGAAAGAATTGAAAGCAGGGTCTTGAAGAGCTATTTGTATGCCCTTGTGCACAGCAACATTATCTACAAGAGGCAAAAGGTGGAAGCAACCCAAGTGTCCGTAGACCACTAAATGGATAAGCCAAATGTTTTATATACATGCCATGGAATAATATTGTGCCCTAAAAAGGCAGGAAATCCTGACAACATGAAATTACTACAACATGGATGAACCCCAAGGACATAACGCCAAGTGAAATAAGCCAGTCGTAAAAAGACAAATACCGGGGCACCTGGGTGGCTCAGTGGGTTAAGCCTCTGCCTTCAGCTCAGGTCACAATCTCAGGGTCTTGGGATCGAGCCCCGTATCGGGCTCTTTGCTCAGCGAGGAGCCTGCTTCCCCCTCTCTCTCTGCCTGCCTCTCTGCCTACTTGTGATCTCTCTCTCTCTCTCTCTCTGTCTTTCTGTAAAATAAATAAATAAAATCTTTAAAAAAAAAAAGACAAATTAAAAAGTTCCACTTCTGTAAGGTGCCTAGAATAGTCAGATTCATAGAATCAGAAAGAGGAATGGTGGTTCCCATTCTGGAAGGTCGGGAAATCTGGGAGGAGGGGCATTGGGAGTTACTGGTTAATGGGTTAGACTTTTAGTTTTGCAAGATGAAAAAGCTCTGGAGATGGACAGTGGTGATGGTGGCACAACATTGTTAATGTGTTTAACCCTGCTGAGCTGCGCATTTAAACATGCGTGGCTAAGATGGTAAATTTTATGGTATTTTACCCCAACTTTTTTGAAGAGTATTCCACTGAAGTCTGGGTTCAGTTCAGAGCTTCCTTAGAAGGGTCTGTGAGATGAGTTAAAAATACACCTTTGGTTTTAATCTAAGCTTTGGTTTCTTTTCACAGTGCAGCCTTCATATTCACGCTTCCTACAGCATCTCCCAGAAGCTAAATGTTCCAATGGCCCCACTCTCTGAGCCTAAGGCCGTCGGCATAGTCATTGCCCACGGTAAGCAGCCCCTCCTCTCATCTCCCTGGGAACCATCAGCTGAGCATGCTGAGACTCAGTCCCAGTCTTGAATCCTGTAAGAAAACCACCAGACATGACTCTTACCATGCTTTATAGAGTTTCTTACATGATAATGGTCTGTTGGGTTTTCCCTAGAGAGAGAAACATGATTTCTCCCTTTCCCAAATTTTGTGGTCTTTTTTTCTGTTACAAGAGACATGACGGGAAATAGGGTAAATTCATTGAAAATCATTCTCTCAACGCTAAAACCCCTCCGTTCCGTTGCTGGTTTTTGCTGATAAGATGGGTTGTGTTGCAGGTAGTGTAGGGGATGCCATCTCAGTGATGATCCCAGATGTATACATCTCAGATGATGGGGGTTACTCCTGGACGAAGATGCTGGAAGGACCCCACTATTACACCATCCTGGATTCCGGAGGCATCATTGTGGCCATTGAGCACAGCAGCCATCCTATCAATGTGATTAAGTATGCATGAGCTCCGCTCCACCCACACTATCTCCACGGAGGGCGACTGTGGGTTGCTTTTTAGTTGTGGGGAGAACTGGGGGGGTGAGGGACTGGTTACAGACCCTGCTCGAATGTGTGCATTCTACAGAACTGTGGGGATCATTCTTTTTTAAAGATTTTATTTAGTTATTTGACAGACAGAGATCACAAGTAGGCAGAGAGGCAGGCAGAGAGAGAGAGAGGAAGGGAAGCAGGCACCCTGCTGAGCAGAGACCAGGACCCTGAGACCATGACCTGAGCCGAAGGCAGAGGCTTAACCCACTGAACCACCCAGGCGCCCCTGTGGGGATCATTCTTGAAGGGATTGCAACCCACATTCAGTGGCTTTGCTTTTTCTTCTGACTTCCTCTAGCTAACACTTTTTGTCACTTTTTAAAAATATTCTTCTTTCTCTCCACAAGAATCTTACACAGCGTTTTAGCACTTTGAGTGGAAGGTGACTCCTTAAGTATAAGATACACAAAGTAATTTCTATTTATTTCTGTTTATTTATTCCTTCCTGTGAAAGAAATTTTATAAAGACATTTTCTTCTTTACTCTTTCAATGAATCCCTTTTACCCACCCTATTAACTGTAGGCATTAAAAATTAATATAATCATTAGTCAGTAAGCCATCACCTAAATATGAGGGCTTTCTCTGGTTTGGGATCAAACCGCTAGAGTGGTTTCCTGAAACTCCTGTACATGTTGATCCTCTGTCACAGTTGTTCTCTGGCTGTGGTTCCAGGTTCTCCACAGATGAAGGTCAGTGCTGGCAAACCTACATGTTCACCAGGGAGCCCATCTACTTTACTGGCCTCGCTTCAGAACCTGGAGCTCGGTCCATGAATATCAGCATTTGGGGTTTCACAGAATCTTTCCTGACTCGCCAATGGGTCTCCTACACCATTGATTTTAAAGATGTCCTTGAAAGGAACTGTGAGTACCTCCTTTGACGTTTTCCACCAGAAACTTATAAGCCCATTTTCCTAAATAACCAATTCAGTTTCGTTTCTTTTAGCTGGAATAAGAAAATGCACAGGTAAGAAGATTGAAGAATGTGGGTAATCAGGCAAGGAATGGTATCAGAAATGTAGTTTCCCTCTTTGGACTAGCACTGTACGAGAGAAATAAAATGAAGACCACACGTATGATTTAAATTATTCTATCCCCTGAGTTATAGGAGTAAAAGAGGTGAAATCTACTTTAATAATAATACAATCGTCTCAACATATCCAAAATGTTATCATTTCCACATATAAGCAATATTAAGAGTTATCGATGAAATGGTTTGTTTTGTTTTGTTTTGTTTTGACAGACAGAGATCACAAGTAGGCAGAGAGGGAGACAGAGAGAGGGGGGGAGAAGCAGGCTCCCTGCCGAGCAGGGAGCCCAATGCGGGGCTTGATCCCAGGACCCTGGGATCATGACCTGAGCTGAAGGCAGAGGATTTACCCCACTGAGCCACCCAGGTGCTCCTGTTTTGTATTTTATTTATTTTTTTTTTTATTTAATTTTATTTTTTTATTTGACAGAGAGATCACAAGTAGACAGAGAGGCAGGCAGAGAGAGAGGGGGAAGCAGGCTCCCCACTGAGCAGAGAGCCCGATGTGGGGCTCGATCCCAGGACCCCGAGATCACGATCTGAGCCGAAGGCAGTGGCTTAACCCACTGAGCCACCTAGGTGCCCCCCTGTTTTGTATTTTATATTTCTCTTCTAAGACTTCAAAATCCAGTGTATATTTGACACTTAGTCTTATAGTAAATCTCAATTCAGACCAGCAATAAGTGGGTAAGGCTCTCACATAGGAGAAGGTAGCTTCACACTGTTGGAGCTCTGTAACATTTTGTGGGACTTATTTCTGCTTGTAAGGATAATGCATGCTTGCATTTATCTAAAATTATTTCATGACATTTCAGGGGTTTTCACCCTTGATTGCAGCAGAACTGTAAAGAGAAAGCTTTAGAGAAAAGTGTGTTTCAAAGAGCATCTGACTGATTGTGTCCCTTACCAAAACGTTGAAGTGAAGAAAAAAAAAAGCAACAACAAAAAACATTCAAGTGAGAAAGTTTTCACGCAGAGTTTTGGCTTGAATGTCAGCTCCAGGCGAGGCTCTAGAATGATGACTGGGCTAGCAATGAGCCCATGTGGGCCATTTCAGAGTTCTGTGACTTTAGGCTGGAAAGCATGTTAAAAAGGCACAGAAAATGGCTTCAGAAAAGGAGGTAAAAAGAATCCCAAGCAAACCCAGACCCCAGTACCAAAGATGCTGACATTGTACTGAAAAATATGGAAGATAAAAGAAAAAACTGGAGAAAAGTCCCCCACCCTTCGAGCTGCAGTTTCTTGTTGGTGTGTTAGGATAAAAGACTTAAAGTTTCAGGGGCACCTGGGTGACTCCATCTGTAAGTGTCTGCCTTCAGTTCAGGTCATGATCTCGGGGTCCTGGGATCAAGCCCCGCATTGGGCTCCCTGCTCAGTGGGGAGCCTGCTTCTCCCTTTCCCTCTCCCCACTGCTTGTGTACTCTCTCACTCTCTCTCTGAATTAAATAAAATCTTTAAAAAAAAAAAAAAAAGGCCTTAAGGCTTCAAGTCACTGTGGTTGAATTTTGGTCCTGTCGTTTGATTGTAGGATGGGTCCATTTCCTCCGAATGTTAGTTTGGTGACCCCTGAGCATTCTGTTCAGACCTTACTTTTCTACAGGGTGTTTAAATATGATTTAATGCCCGAGAGTCATTATTTTCCAGATTCATTAAGTAGACTGTAAAGGAGCTGGCTTATGAGTTTTCCCCTCATAAGGCACTATGCAGTTACCCCTAAAGTTTAACACCGCTAAGAGATTTGGTAAGCAACTGCTTCGTAGCAGCCTCCATGCTGGTCTTCAGATCCCAAAGGATAAAAACCTAATCCACAGTCTTTAGGCCATAGGCTTTGAGTCATTTTTCCAGGAGTGGATGATATGACTTATGAAGCCAGATTGACTATCCTCAATGGTCTACTTGAAAGCCAGTCAACTAGAGTAAAAAGTCTAGAAAGAGATGGTCTTCCCTTCTGTTTGAGGCAAGCCAACCCATGGTGAAACTGAACCCATGCTTTAGGCTAACTGGTGTCTTGTCCTAAAAAGAACCACCTCGCTGCTTACCTGCGGCAGCTCCCGCTGACTGGGGCACAGGTGCACACAGCAGGGAGACCGCAGCCTCCCCGCCTGGAGGAAAGCTCAGAGGGGCTCCATGCAGCCGCCCACTGTGAAACCAATGCAGTTTCTCCTAATACCCAAAAGCGGGGTGAGAGGCGAAGAACCCTCCTCTGGCGCGAGGGGATGCCAACCACTAGTAGGCACCAGGTCCTGCAACTTTTGTCTGCAGCTCCAAAATGCGGCAGTAGCGTGAGTCAGACATCCGCGTTTCCCTTCCTTGCTCTGCTCTCCGCCTGGCAGCCGCCTCGCATGCATAGGTGTGGGGCCAGGCGGTGACCTGAACAGCCTGTCTTCTCTTTAGGTGAGGAGAAGGACTATACCATATGGCTGGCTCATTCCGCAGACCCCGGAGATTACGCAGACGGCTGCATCTTGGGCTACAAGGAGCAGTACCTGCGGCTTCGCAAGTCATCCGTCTGCCAGAACGGTCGGGACTACGTTGTGACCAAGCAGCCGTCTGTCTGTCCCTGCTCCCTGGAGGACTTCCTCTGGTATCAGCTTCCCTCAGATCCCTGTTAGCCGCTTTGCTATGTGGGAGGAGGTGAGGGGCAGCTGGAAAGGATTCAGATCCTTTCTTCCCTGAGGGTGGAGAGCTGCTGCTGCTTACTGAGGAGATGGAAGCACAGAGAAGGGATCCAGAGTTGTTAGTAATGGGACAGGTGAGGTGTCACATCAGACAGTTGTTGGACAACTGGCGACAACCCCTGGAATCCTGGCCCAACAGCAGGGGAGAGAGGTGTGTAAGGAGGAAGAGAGCTCAGAAACCCAGAGAGGGGACGATAGGGCAGAGACCACCAGGAAAGGCTGTGCAGGAGCTGGGAGGGGGTTGGACTTCCGTGTGCTCACTGAACACTGACAGCCTGAGTTCAGCAGGTGGGGCGCTAGGTTTTGGATTGTCTGCAAGACTGAAGGCAGCGAGTGTGGTTCTGTCCTGAGACAGGAGGGGATGTCAGGGTACTGATGGCCCAGATGTCCCATCAAGGTCTAAAGGCCATCGAGGTGGACTCCCATGAGCTCAGGACCATCTGTGCTGAAGGGTCAGTGGCACGGCCAGCATGGGGTTAGTTGATTGTCTAAGGGCAAGGCAGTCCCCAGGTCACCAAGCAGGGGTACTGCTTCCCGAACTCATTTCCTTCAAATCATACTGGCAGGAAATAAAGGTGAATCCTGGAAGATCTGGAAAAGAGTGCAGTCAGACAGCAGTCCTGTCCCTCCCACATCACATTCTCTAGAACTGCAGGTGACCGAGAATACGGGACTGAGCAAACCTCCCAGTCTGACCGGTGTAGACCCCCTGCCCCGGTGCGGCTCCCATCTGCACATGGAACGGGCCAGGGGTGCTCCTTCTGTGTTTCCACAAGGAACGGGATCTCTCCGATGGCTGTGGTGTCAGTCTAGGGCTAGAGCATGTTGACTGTGACACTCTCATGGGCTGCCTTCATCCTAGAATGCACACAGACTGGGATCTTAACTCCCCAGCCTTCTTTCCAGATCTGCTGTGCCTCATCAGAGCTGCGTGCCATTGTCCGTGGGGCTTCCTCTGCCGGGAAGTCTCCCCACATTGCCTGCTTGCCCCCCAGGCTTAGGGGATGCCTACTTGGCCTTTAGAACTTAGCTCACTTCTCTCCTCCACAAAGCCTTCCCCGGCTTTCCCTCATCTGCACTCCTACAGGACACCTGCTGCTGGGTTTTGGTTGTCATAGAGAGGTTTGGGTCTGCCTTCAAACTCTCAGCTCCTTGAGGGCGTTATGTTTGATAAGCACGGAGTAGTCAGCATAGCCCCTGGCACTTACCGAGCACTGACTCTGTAGCAGGCACTGTCCCGAGCCATTTGCATTTACCCCCAGCAGCCCTCTGAGATAGGGACCATTGCCATTTCCGTCTCACCAAGGGAGAAATGAAGGTTCAGAGAGGGCGTCACTGCCTTGCCCACAGCGGCTCAGCCAAAAGTAGTAGAGCTGGAATGTGCGCCCAGCAGCTCGGCCCTGGAGCCTGCACCCTGTCCCGCCCGTGCTTGAGAAGTGTGTGACTGTGAGGACAAAGGGCGCTTTCCCTGACATGTGGGATTGCACACCTAAAATTCTCACCATAACTCTCCCCCTGTCGGAGGGGTGGTATCTTCGACTTCTTTTGTTCTTCTTACCCTGCTCCTTAAATATTTGTCAGCATGACCTTGAAGTACCAGCAGCATCCATGTACCGCCCGAGCATCTGTTGCATCCTTGCTGTGCACAGGGCGTTGCAAAGTGACAATGAAAAGTTTGTTATTGACGCTCAGATGCACAGGATTATGCGGTGAAACAGTGCCTGGGGGATTGAGAGAAGGGAAAGGCCATTCCATCTAGAGCTGAAGGGAGATGGCTCAGAGAAGGCTTTGTTGAGGAGGAACATTTGAGCTGAGCCCTGACAAGCGCTAGGACTTGACTTTGCACATCTGGGAAGAAACAGTCATTAAAGCCAGTGGAGTGGTGCGAGGGAAGGGTGTGCTGGGAGGTAGGCCATGAGGGCAAGTCGCAGCCGTCCTGATAAAGAAGCATGGAGGGTGCAGATGGGGCAGGCCCAGGCTGAATTTGCAACTTAGATAATGGAAGGAAGGTAGTGCCGTGGACAAACACAGGGGAATGGTGGGAGAGACTGGCTTGAAGGAGAGGACATGATGTGTATTGAATGCTCTATTTATTTGAGGTTCTTTCAGCAGATTTAGGTGGTGACGTCCAGCAGGAACTTGGAAATGTAGGATCACAGGTCAAGAGAGGTAAAACCTGGAAGTTTTAGCTGCAACAAACAGTTAAGCTCACAAAGGTAGAGCAGATACGGCATAAGAGAATGAATTGCAGACCGCAAGCAAGGGTCTGCGTTTCCGGGTTAGGAAGGCAGAGGCATAAACCGTGCAGAGAGAAGCAGGTGAGCCAGCTTTGCGGGGGCGTGGGCAGGCGTGGGCAGCACATGGGGGTGGCGCGGGGCAGGCCAGACCGGAGAAGGCTCCCCAAGGTTGCCAGACTTGTGCATCCTGGGGGCCTCAGACATTTGCCTCCAAGGTAGTAGGGGGGATTGAAGCCAAAATGCACAGGATAAAAAGTGAACAAGTACGAAATACTCGTTTAAGAAGTTTGGCCAGTAAAGAAGAAGAGAGGGAAGGAAGATGATACACACAGGTAAGGAGAAGCCCCCAGGTGAGTGGGCCTGATGGTCCCTCCACATGGTCAGCCAAGCAAGGTCCCAGGGCAGTTGGAGGGATGGAGCATGGACACTTATGCGGGGGATCACCCTTGGAGAGGAGGCAGTATATTACTTCTTGGGGGAAGCAGAGAGAGCAGAGCAGATGGGAAGCACTGTGGAGAGATGGGATAGGATGAAAGGCAGGCAGGCATCCACATTGGAGACAAGAATCCTAAGAAGCTAAGAGGGACAGAAATGGGGCAGGCAGGCAGGATTTGATACACACCCTAGGGTACACACCCAGAGAACATAATGAGTGATTTGGAGGTAAATAAAACGGTAACTAAGCATCGTGGTTTTAGATCTGTTGCTGATGCCACTGTTTCTTAGTATCTGAGTTCTCGAGTGAGTCCCCACCCTGCTGCAGGCAGTCCCTTCCCGGAGCCGCTGCTGTCTGTGCCAGGCTTCTAGCTACCGAGTCCCAAGTGCACCAGGCCTGCTCCATGAGCTGCTGGTCCCCCAGCTGAGCATTCTCCATGTCTGTCCTCCTCGGTGGGCCTTCCTCACAGGTGGCAGGGCTGCTCCCGTGCAGCCACAGACTGGGCTCTCCATCTGCCTGCGCCACATAAAACCTTCATCGATGGTCCCCTCACTGCTGCCATTCCGCAGCTCTGAAACATACTGTATTTGTGGACTCTTACAGTGATTTTGGCTACTTCCGTCCAGAAAATGATTCCAAATGTGTGGAACAGCCAGAGCTAAAGGGCCACGATCTGGAATTTTGTCTGTACGGCAGAGAGGAGCACCTGACAACAAATGGGTGAGGCGCCTCCCCTCCTGAGTCGTGACAGCCGTGTCCCTGCCGTGCAGAGTGAGCCCCCACTCACCGCGCCCTGCACCTCCATGCAGGCAGTGTTCTAGAGCATGCTAGGAAAAGACTGTGGAACAGAACTTTCTGTGGCGCTGGAAATGCCCTCTCGTCTGCTGTGTCCCATACGGTAGCCATTAGCCCTGTGTAGCAACTGAACTAATTTTACTTAGTTTAAGTGTAAGTAGCCACTGTGTGGGGGCAGTGCTGCCCCAGAGGAGACACAGTACTTCCCCCACAGTACATACCCCCCCTCCCATTTTTGTACGGTGTGTTACCGTGCTTTCCTTGGGCCATGGTTCTTTGGCCCCAACTCGTGGCCCAGAGAGGCAGGCATGCCTCTGCAGGAAGGCCAGGGATACTTGGGCTGTTCAGGGCCTGAGACTACACAGAACATCCCCAAAACATTCCCGAGGCTCTCCCCTCAGGCCTGAAAGGGGGTGGAAGTTTGAGAAGCTTTTCTGCAGATTTTCAAATCTTGCTTTCAGGAACGAGGAATACATCCTAATGGTCTGACAAGAAATTGTCTTTGCTTTTTCAGGTACCGAAAAATTCCAGGAGACAGATGCCAGGGTGGCGTGAATCCAGTCCGAGAAGTAAAAGACTTGAAAAAGAAATGCACAAGCAACTTCCTGAGTCCTGAAAAGCAGGTACAGTAAAGTAGATCTGGTTTAGGGACCAGTGGGCTTTTGTGTTCTGCCAGAAACAAAGCGGCAGCACTGAGAATTTTATGACTGAATACAAAGAGGATGGACTACTTCAGGCGGCCTGCACTGTGCACAGGAGACCATTAGGATGGAGGATGGGCTACACAGCATGATAAACTCCATGCTAAAAACATTATCGTTGGAGGAACAAAGTAGAATTCTATACAATTGTTCTGAATTCTTGGGAGCATCAGGTTGAGGACATTTCTGGGGGCTGAGAGTCATTTAGGGAAAATACTTGAAGTCGGGCTGTAAAGGGCAGGAAGAGAGGAGCCCTGGCCCTCATTATAGGTGGGCTCTGTGCTGAGTCATGCCGAGTGTGCTCAGACTAGACAACTGAACTTCGGTACTAATGGGTTTGTGATGTAGGAGCGGGTTATGAGGCAGATTACGGCTCTGTGGTGCTGAACCATCTGGCTGGGATGTGGGAAGTGGTAAAGAGGAAGCCTTTTGATAAAGAAGCACTGGACCAGCAGTGTGACTGGGGCAGTCAGCTGTGGGCCCCAGTTCCCTAATCCATAAAATGGGAGGTAGACGATCCTCAGTCCCCTCCTCTCTGGCCTTCTGAGGGATGAGGGCCTGACACGGGCAGGATTAGGTAGGTAGCAGGAGCAGAATGTGGGTGTGTGTCTTTGTCAGGGGGCAAGTTCCCTCTTCTCTGCACCCTTACCCTGCATCCCTAGTAGCTATCCTCAGTGTGTATGTGCGTGATTGGACAGGACTCCCGCCCCCAGGGACATAATGTGTCCCAGAATCCAGTTCCGCCACCTCTTGGATTCACTGAAAACACACATTCCCTATCTCCCACCCTGAAACAGGTAGGGCCCACTCCAGCAATAATATGAAAAGGCTTATTTGCAAAAACATACCAAAAATGAAGTAAAAACAAGAGTCTTCATGTTACACGATGTCCTGCCTGAGGCAGCATGGGCACAGCTTCTTCCCAGGGACTGGCCATGTTCCAGATTTATCTGGCCCACTGTTGTCATTCTCCCCCTTTCCCACTGTGCCCCTAAGTGCTCCACCACTCCACATGGCTAGTGGGGAACAGCCTCAGTTGCTCTTTGACCTAGGTCATTGCCGTAGTTCCCAGAGTAACTCGGATATTAGAGCCTGAGTTTGGACCATTCTGGCAGCTTCCAGGCAGCCGAAGTTCTGGTTCCCCTCTGCCATCAGTGATGCACTCCTGGTAGGATTGAGAGAGTCCGGCGGCGGGCGGGGGCGGGGAAAGCACAAAGGGCCTGGAGACTGCAGGTCATTCACAGAGAAACCAGGGGAAGGAACAGCCTCTTTGAGTTCAGTCCTAGCATGTGCACACCTGAAATTGTCTGTGTTTTAATTTGTCAAGAACTCCAAGTCAAATTCTGTTCCAATCATCCTGGCCACCGTGGGATTGATGCTGGTCACAGTCGTAGCAGGGGTGCTCATTGTGAAGAAGTACGTCTGTGGGGGAAGGTAAGGAGCATGGCAGTCAGCCAGAGGTACCAAACTCCAGCTGCAGAGGCAGCCCAGGGCGTGTGGTTGAGCTGGCCCCTAGCGAAAACTGGCCAGTGGTAGTGGTGTTCCTGAAGCATCAGGCCCAGACCTTCTCAGAGCTTCTGTCGGGCCACATGCCGACTGTGGGCTGTGCCTCCCATGTGTGTGACTCGTGCTGTGAGTGTGTAGAACTCGGAAAGTCCGCAAGCCTGTGGGAGGCATGTCTCATGTCCCATGTCCCCATGTCACATGTCACCATGGGACAGCTCACGGAGGTCTCCACCCCCAGGTTCCTGGTGCACCGCTATTCCGTGCTGCAGCAGCATGCCGAGGCCAATGGCGTGGATGGCGTGGATGCCCTGGACACGGCCTCCCACACTCACAAGAGTGGTTATCATGATGACTCAGATGAGGTAAGACTTCTTGACGGGTGGCCCGGAAGCACAAGAGAGGGGTGTTCCTGTTCCTTTCAAAATCAGAATCCAACTGAGGCAGAGGGGGCGCGTAAGCCAGCAGCAGCCACTTAATGCCTATAAGACTTGGCCAGCCCAGAAACTAGGTCAGAACTTTCAAAATAGAAATTTTTTTTTTTTTTTAAGATTTTATTTATTTGACAGAGACACAGCAAGAGAGGGAACACAAGCAGAGGGAGAAACAGGCTTCCCACTGAGCAGGGAGCCTGATCCGGGGCTCGATCCCAGAATCCTAGGATCATGACCTGAACCGAAGGGAGCCGCTTAATGACTGAGCCACCCAGGTGCCCCTCAAAATAGGAATTTTTTAGTGTGCAAATAATATAGTCTCTGTTTCTCTTCTCAGGACCTCCTGGAATAGCTCTTCAAAGCGGCTGGGACCGAGCACAGATGATGGAACCGCAGTACCTCTCACACGCCCTGTGGCTCCGACTTGGGGGGAATAAATTTCCCATTGCGAGGGACCCAGCTCTGTTTCTGCTGCTTCCACCAAAGCCAAAAGGACCTGTGCTAAAGAAATGTGGGCGGGTGGGGACCCGAAACACTCTCACGATTGGCTCTGAGAAGTGGGGGAATCTAAATTCTTTAATTTTTTATTTCAAGTTCTGTCTTTTTGCAAAGTATGGGTTCTTTTGGTTTTGTTTCTGTTTGGTAAGGGAAATGGGATTGGAAGGGAATGTTTCACTAACCCCCCTCTTGCATGTTTTGCATGGCGCCTGCCCCCAGGCACCTGCCAGCCCCAGCATCAACCATCACCAAGTACTCGGCGCTGTCCCCGGGCTCTGCCGGCGACGCGGAGCAGCTGCTGAGAGGGACTCGGGGGCTGCGATGACTGGCACGGCCTGGCGGCCTTTCCCCGGCCAGGGACAGCCCCACCCCGAGAGTGCTGCACACCAGCTCCTCACACACACCCCGCCTTTGCTTGCTTGCTCTTTTGGGGACCATGGACCACAGTGGCGTCTCTTCCCCCCACCCCATTTAATTAGGCAATACCCTCGTTAATTGCCCTTTGGCAACTGACTTAACCCTGTGCTTCCAAGACACTAAATCAGGAAAACTTAAAGGGCAATATTTTTAAGTTGGGGCAGGAAGAAGGGAGCAGCAGGGAATTGACTAGGGTTAGCACCTATTAAAGGACAAATTCTTGCTTCTTCCAAGATCTTTCCAGCCGTGCTTCGTGTCTGTGCCTGTGAACTTGCTCAAGGACAGGGTGAGGGCTTGCCCTGGATATCTGCCCAGGCTGTGGGGTCTCTCCACTGGAGCCGAGGGAGGGTGCCCGGGGTGGCCCCTGAGGACTGAACATCACAGTCCTCCGTGTCCTCGTCCACCTGTGGGCACAGTGGCGAATCCTTAGGATGGCTACTTGCTTGCTTCCTCTTGGACTGCTGTTGTACATGGAGCCAGGACGAGACATGTTTTCAGATTTATAAACTATTTTTTAAAAATCACGATTTTATTACCAGGCTCTCTTCCTCACCTATTTTCTCCAGCTTTGCCAACTAATTTGTTGGCATGAAACTTCTGGCCGAACCAACCGAAAACACATGTGTAGTGTAGGTGATGTTTTACCTCATGCGTTAAGTTCGTATTTTAAATTTAAGGAAGTTTTCCACTGGACATTTTTTCAGATCAAGTTAACAGTAGAATGTGGTGAGGTGGAGTTTTGGGTGGCCACACAGTAATGGAAAGCTGCAATAATTCGTTTTAAAAGAGCTTGAATATTTGCTCTCCAGGTATATAGTATAGTACATTTTTGGTCTTAGTGTCCCTACTGTGCTGGCCACAGTTTCTCCCAGTAATTACGGTTAGGACATTCTTTGGTAACTGCCAGTTTGCTGCTAGTTCATTTTATGGTGATAAAGTCACGAAAAAGTAGACGTGCCAAATCAACTTTTGTCAGAATGCGTGAGCAGATGGCTGTGTTCTCTCCTCCCCAGAATGGATTAACAGCAGCAGGGAAAGTGGGAGAGGGGGTGGTTGGAGAAGGTTAGAGACTTTGAAGCTGCAGCAGGACTGAATGAGTCAGGGAGCTTCAGTTGGGAAATAAAGCTAGGGCATTTTTTGTGAAGAGAATTCGTATTTGTTTGAGCCATAGAGCACTGGTCTTTTAGGAAAAGCTCATTCATTTTGCATAGTTTTTAAATTTAAAAATCCAAAGATAGACCAGGTCACAAATGAAAACGTGTCAGTCTTTCTCCCGGACACACTCACCTCCTGCCCAAAGTGATTCTGATGCCCAGAAAAGACCCACTCCTGCCGCACACCTTCTCCCTGCAGCTTATACTCGCCTGGGCAGATGTGTGCGTATGTGGTAATTCTCTGATTTATTTTAGGATGTAGGAAAGTTTATCTTCTTCCTTAACCAAATAAGGTTAGAGCTCTGGGCTTCTAAGGGTATCTGGGACTTCTGTAGAACTTGGCAATTTTCAGAGCACTTTGACTTGGCATTGTGTCATTGGAAACTTAGAACATTCTTGATGAGACTTTCTCTTTGAAGGCCAGGGGTTTGTCGTCCCCATTTTTCAGGAGACGGAGCTGAGGTACAAAAAGTGAGTAAATGGTCCAGGGTCTCTGTGTGCATGGCAAGCAGTGCCAGTCGGTTGTCTTTAGAGCTTTTGAACGTTTTTATGTGTGCAGGGGCTGCGTGCCCAGGGCATGCAGGGTTCCTGCATACAGTTGCCTCTCTGTCCTTCAGGAGAGGGATGGGTGGCATCTCTGTGGGAGCAGTGTCGCTCCTTTTTGCCACTGTGAGAGAAAATTTTTTTCTCCTGTTTTACATGGCTTCAAAACAAAAATTAATGGTAATTTTGAATGTGTGTTTAGAAACTGCCCCTCATCTAGATGCAGGTGTGAGCTGTCCCTTGATGAACTACCTTCTCCCTCTCCTTGTTTTCTCATCCTCATCTGTCTGGCTGGCTAGCTCGGTCATTTGGAGAACTGCTAACAAGCCTGGCTCACCCCCTTCATTGGCTAGTTAGCTTCCCATCTCAGCCTGCTCACTCACAAAGGTATGCCCTCAGCCAGCAAGTATAACAGCCTATTATCCATGATGGCTTCAAAGAGAGAACGATTCCTAATTTGTTCTACTGATGTTAGGTTAGGAGCATTATCTTTGAAAGTAAAGTGTAGCTTATCATTGTATAAAATCTCGGGCTTGATGGTAGCAGAAGAGATGATTTCTGGAGGTTTCAGCGATAGGGTTGAGCACCGTAAGAAAGGTTGGACACATCAGACTGTCTACAGTGGTCTGAGCTTTTAAGTCCGGGTGGAGAACTCACCATCCCTCACCTGTGATCGGCACCTTGGCCCTAAGAGGGCTTTGGGTTGGTGACTCTAGAGGCCAAGGGTGTGTGCACCTGAGCTGGTATTTGAATAGGGATCCCACTTAGGAGAAGAAAAAAGTCTGGAGAGTTCTGGCAGTTCTAAGCTGGGCTCAGAAGATTCAATAGATGAGCTATAACTGAAATTTAGAACTTGCCATCTGCCTCTGAGTAGGCTTTCCAGTGTGTACCTAATTCCTAGGTTTGCCTCTGGGCCTCTCCATGTCCAAGCTGGCCTTTCATCCATGACACATTAGTAACAGGCTGGCCGCCTCCAGCCCTTGCACTGGCTCTCTACACTGCAGCTGGTTCTCCCATGGCCTGGGTCACAGGACCAGGATACAGAGGGAGTGCGGAGCCGTCCACACCCACCCCAGGTGGCAGGGCTGGCCGGAGTTTCTAAGGGTTCTCTAAGAACCCTGCCTCCACGCGCAGAGGTTGTGGAGCTCTCCCGGCTTGTTGGTATTTCCTCCTCGCCCCATCTGAAGTCAGATGCTTGGAACTGCTAAAGTCAGAGCTTCAGCTTTTTGACTTTGCTACTACCTGGCCTCAAGCAGGGAGGTAAACAGGGACTTAAATGTCCTTTGAACAAAACCAAAGTGTAAGACGTGCCGCATGACGGAGTACTAGGGAGGGCCAGACCTTCAGCGCTGGCCTTCAGCAGGGGCCAGACATTCGGTTTCATCTGCCACCCGTGTACCCAGCGGCTCTGGGAGCACCGTCCTGTCTGAGCAGAGCCGGGCCTTGCCCTCGCGGAGGCTGACCGACACAGCAGGAGTATGTTGGTTCCTTGGTTATGTTGCATTATAACAGTAAGAGTCACAACATTAATTTGAAACTGTCTTCAACAACTGGCTGTATGCATTTTTTCACACCAGTACATTCTTAAGCATCCTCGTTTATATAGAATAACATAAACTAATCTGTACGTTTATATATATATATGTACATATATACATGTATAAACTGTATAGTGTACATGTTAATGATTTATTGATATGTCCCAAATCTTTCATGCAGTTCTCATCCTCTGCATGCCCTCAGTTTGCGGTCGGGTGACTTGAATGTTCCTCGATGATCCTGCCCACCTCCCGTGTTTGGACGTCTAGGGAAGGAGGGTTTTGGTCATACCCTTCTTGTCCTCATGCACAGAAATGCTCAGGGTCCCCACGTGCCTGTTGTTCAACCCTCTCTTGTGTCTCGTTCCCTTTCTGAGCATGTGGTCCCTCCCTGTCCTGTAACTTCTCTGCCCCCATCCCCAGCTGTGGGACAGCTGCCTTCCTACTAAAGTGTAAAGCAGTATTAACATCATTACTGCATGTGCGCTAAAAACCCAAGTCTTCTGTTCCCTTGGGACAGAAAATTGCATGTGGGGTGGGATAATCAAGTTTCAGTGACCCATGTCAGTTACCCAACAAAGCCAGACCCCATAGCAAAATTCCACAAAATGGAAATCAAACTTAAATTTCTTTATTAGCATTGTGTAAATAAATCTGGATGTGTTTAACTTTGTACTGGTAATTTTCTGTATATTTGCAATATTTGGGTTAGAAATAAAACAGACTGGACTTTGTTACCTGACCTATGGAAATGACTAAGCTACAGTTTGTTACCGTGATTTCCCAGTTTTCTAGCTTCAGAAATCAAACTCCAGCAACTGGAGAATAAACCAGGTAAAGAGCCAGGCCTGCATTGGTAGCGTGAGAGGTACTAGGTAAGTTGTGGGGGAAAAATTTAGTTTTTCTTGTCCTTTGTGCCCCTTAACTACCTCCCGTGGGTATTTGTAGGACCAGCTTTCCCATTCTTACTCCATATGCCCTCTCAGGGTGCGACCGCTAACCACTTCCTTCTGGATAGAAGGCAGAGAACGACTGTCCCAAATTAGCTGTTCCTTCAGGCAGGTTTGACAAATGACAATACTGGAAGCTTAAGTTCAGTACTTCCCAGTGGCCTCTCTCAGATTTCTCTTGCTGCTCTTACTCATAGTCCTGCCTGATTCATTTCATTTAAGGACCTTTCAAAGAGTTGCGGCTTTCCTTGCTTCCCAAGTATTTCTTTTAGGAGAAGTTCCTGTCCACCTCCCTTGAGACTTTAGCCCAGCCTGGAAGACTGCCTCTGAGCCTGCCATCCTGGGTGACATTTCCAATGGATACTTACTCTGACACCATGATCTGAAGATGACGAGGCAGAAGACCTTCCTGTGAAGGAGCCGGCTATCTAGTGGAGATGGCATATGGTAGTTTTATTTTCAGGAAGTCTAGCTAAGCTAGTGTCCAAAGTCTTCCCGCACCAGAGTCACTAGGTTGCTTTTTCTTTTCTTTTTTCTTTTTTAAGATTTTATTTATTTATTTGACAGAATGAGAGATCACAAGTAGGCAGAGAGGCAGGCAGAGAGAGGGGGCAGTAGGCTCCCCACTGAGCAGGGAGCCAGATGCGGGGCTCATCCCAGGACTCTGAGATCATGACCTGAGCTGAGCCCAGAGGCTTAACCCACTGAGCCAACCAGGCACCCCTAGGTTGCTTTTTCAAATGCAGATTCCTCGACCCCACCCAGACCCATTAAATTAGACTGTAATGGACAGACCCTGGGAGTCTACATTTTTAACTTGATTCTTTTACACCTTTATTGCAACAAAGGGCTCAGGCTGAAAGTCTAGGCCAATTTCATACCACCTGGTGTGGGGACTCTGTATTTATAAGGGCTTTGGCTAGAGAAATCTAGGCCCCACGCAACAGGAGCAGCCTCAGAGGTCAAGCTCTGTAGCTCCGCCTCCGCCATCCGAGCTCCTGAGGAATAGGTTCCTGGGCCAGAAGTGCGTCTGCAGGCTGTCCTGGCCCTCAGCCCCAATACAAGCTGCAAAGAGTAGCAAAGGCTCCTGGGAAAGTATCGCTCTGCCTCCAAATTGAGGGCTAAAGGGAAAAATGAGTGTAAAGAGCCCATTCATTCAACTACACTCTTTTTTTTTTTTTTTCCATAAAAGAAAAGGCTGGTGGAAGGAGGTGGGGATATGTGGGAACTCTGTACTTTCCATTCAACTTTACTGGGAAACTACAGCTGCTCTGAAAAGTAATGTGTACACACAGACACACACACACACACACACACGGGGATGCTGCTTTCTAGAGCTAGTAAAGCAGGGGTGTGAAAGGAAACCATTTGGATGTGGTGGACAGGACATGAAGAATGGTGACTTGGTAAGCCTAGACATCACGCAGAACCTTTGGTGCGTCACTAACACAGTGGTCTGGCCACTTCCTTCCACTTTCACTGTTTTCTCTTCAACATGGTCATGGTGTCAGCATCTCTGGTCTCAGAGCCCAAGGCCCTGCAGTTCAGAGTTCGTGATCTGCCCAGGGTCACCTAGATCCTGAGCGAGTAGCACAGCCAGAAGTGACACCCATACCCTCCGGCCTCTCGGCCCTGGCTCCCCTCCACCGTGGCTGCCTCTCACTCCGCCGGTGCTTTATCTCCGAGGCAAGGGAGCACTCAGAGGGCCACATGCCAACCTCACCTAAAAATAGCTCACATTTATGGAGCACTTAGTCAGCCACATTCTGCTAAGCACTTTACACAGATTGCCTCTTGTAATCCTCACAACAACCCTGTGGTCCTTATCCTCTCCGTTTTGCAGGTGAGGAAGCAGACCTAAGAGACAGTGACATGTGGCCAGTCACACAAGCTAGCTGGTGATGGAGCCAAAGGAGAGGCCAGCTGGTCTGGCTCCGGAGCGCAGACTCAGCCTCCTCCCACTACCACTAGGCGGTTAGGCGGAAGGGATGGGGACAGACCCCATAAAGGGCAAGTTGGTAAGAACTTAGAGCTCGCCGACTGTGGAGCTGAGAGAGTAGGAGCCCTTAAAGGTGTGCCTGCGAACCCGCTAAGCCTGCTAAGCCCAGCCCCCATTGTGCGATCTGTGAGTGCAGTCAGGAGAGCTGTTTGAAGCTCAAGCCCTCCCCGCCCTCCCCAGTGCTGTGCGAGGGCTGTCACCTCAGCCCTCCTGCCGCTATTCTGGGCTGCTGTCTGATCTCCCTGTCTTCCCCAGTCCCTGCTTCAGCCCTTCTGCTGAGAGTAGCTGGGTGGGAGAAGGCCAGGCCAGTTACATAAGCCCATGGCTGGGACCCTGGGAGGCCAGGCTGGAGAGCGGTGCTTAGCCCCTCCCTCACCACCAACAGTGAAAATCTCCCGCTGGAGCCCAGCCTTGGGGTGGCCCAGCATGGAGGCAGTCACAGCTCTGGAGGTGCCCTCGGGATCCACACTGAAGGTGAAAGAAACGCACACCGCTGATGCTGAAGGACCCCCTGCTTCATCTCGACAAGAGTCCAGCAGCCCCATTCCCCAGCTCCTGCCCCGTATAGAAGGTGACCCGTGGGGTTGGGAAGGGTGGGGCGGCTGGGTCAGTAGGAGTTGGGGAGGTCTCCCTAACACCCAGCTGCACCTCCTTAGCTTTGTGCAGAAGTGAACGGCTTCATGGGACTGATACCCAGGATGGAGGAGCACTGGTTGGAACCCCCACCCCTTTCCTTGGTGGATTCTTATTTGCTGCTCAAGTGTCTGCTGGGTTTGTGCTTTTTGAGTGAGAAGTCAGTGAGTGGTATTTGCAGCCCTTTACAGTGACTAAAGGTGATCTGTTTATATTTGTACTTGTAATAAAATGTCCCAGAGAGGGGCGCCTGGGTGGCTCAGTGGGTTGAGCCGCTGCCTTCGGCTCAGGTCATGATCTCAGGGTCCTGGGATCGAGCCCCGCGTCGGGCTCTCTGCTCAGTGGGGAGCCTGCTTCCTCCTCTCTCTCTGCCTGCCTCTCTGCCTGCTTGTGATCTCTCTCTGTCAAATAAATAAATAAAATCTTTAAAAAAAAAAAAAAATGTCCCAGAGACTGAGGACCTGATATACTAATACCAGCCAGGAAGGAAATGAGGGGTGAGATGGTGGCCGTCTGGATTGGGGAGCAGCAATGAAAAGTTTCTAGCAACTGAGAGACTGGGCGGTGAACAAATAGTGCAGGACACTCTGCCTGTCGCTTGGCAGTGCCGTGGGTCGAGGAGCTACACTAACACTCCAGCTGGCTCCCAGGGAAATCCCCAGCCTCCTGGGGCCTGAGCTTCATGGAAGAAGAGCCCATCCAGGAGAAGTATTGGCCTCCCTTCCACAGTATTCTCTGTGAGCCTCTAAGCAAAGAGGTACTTTTGAGCCAGGAGGTGGTGGGTGGCCCTTCTAGTCCCGGGTATCCCTGCCAGCAGCCCCGCCACCCATTCCCCAGCTCCCCCCAGCTGAGGCCTCTGCAGCTCACAGCTCTGTGAGCTCTGTGATGTTCACTTGGGGTGTCGCCCATTGGGTCTGGCTCAGCTGGCCAGACATGGAAGGCAGGAGCCAGGCTTTTTCCTTCTGTGCATTAACCAGCAGGAGGGACCATGGGCACCTTACACATTTGAGACAGTTACCTGCACTAAATCCCTACTTTGGGCCTCTCGACATCTTGAGTGCAGGGGATGGGAAGACTGCAAACAAGAAGCTCATGGAACCCCAGGGTAGGGGGAAGTAGGAGAAGACGACGTGATCTAGACTCTGTCCAGTGCCACCTCGGGCAGTTCTGTGCCCTTGGACAAGCCAACCAACTGCTCAGTTTCAATTTCCTCTCTGTAAAATGGTAATTAACAATATCTACCTAGTAGGGCAGCTGAAAGGTTTATGGAGATGATCCGAAGTGCCTCAGAAGAGGCAAGCTAAGATGTGAATAGATAATAAGGTATTTCCAAGTCAGGAGTGAAGACTAAGAGTTCTACCTGCAAATGGGGTTGACTAGGGGAAGTTGGCTACCTCCTGTCATCCTTATGGGAGACGCTGGGTTTTCGGGAGCTGTTTAGATGTCACAGGCAGAGAGCTGGCTGAGTTTGCTCCATGGAAAAGGAGGTTGAGGGAGCAGAAATTACTGTGAGCATTGAGCCTAGAATAGTCTTTTTTTTTTTTTTAAGATTTTATTTATTTACTTGAGAGAGAGGAGAAGGTCAGAGGGAGAAGCAGCCTCCCCGCAGAGCTGGGAGCCCGATGTGGGGCTCGATCCCGGGACTCCAGGATCACGATCTGAGCCGAAGGCAGTGGTTTAACCCACTGAGCCACCCAGGTGCCCCGAGGCTGGGATAGTCTTGAGACAGAAAGCCAGTGTCTTCCTAAAAAGGTCCAAGGAATAAGCCACAGAGAGAATGAGAGCCGGGACTGCTGATTCCGGACTTGGCAGGTCTCCCTAAGGCCCTGGCAGACAGCATCCAACCCACCCACACTCCTCCCTCTGCTGTAAGTAGATGCTGTGGGCTGCGGTCTCCTGACAGCCCCTGGCCATCTCCAACGAGTGCAGCCTCAAGAGCCCCAGACCTCAGGGCCACCAGCGCCAGCAGCTCAACTCATTAGCTTCCCAGAGGTCAGGGGTAGTAGGCACTGCTTGTGATAGTTTGCAAAGTATGTTTGATTCTGTTATCTGCTTAGGGAACACATGAGTTCAAATCCCAGCTCTGTACTATGACCCTAGGCAAGTCAGTGAGTGCCCTTCTCTAGGCTTCCATATTCTCATCTGTAAATTGAAAGATAA